TATTTTCAGACAATGATCATTAACCATTTATAGCCATTTATAGCCATCACACTATTTTCAGATAATGATCATTAACCATTTAAAGCCATTTATAGCCATTTATAGCCATCACACTATTTTCAGACAATGATCATTAACCATTTATAGCCATTTATAGCCATCACACTATTTTCAGACAATGATCATTAACCATTTATAGCCATTTATAGCCATCACACTATTTTCAGACAATGATCATTAACCATTTATAGCCATTTATAGCCATCACACTATTTTCAGATAATGATCATTAACCATTTATAGCCATTTATAGCCATCACACTATTTTCAGATAATGATCATTAACCATTTATAGCCATTTATAGCCATCACACTATTTTCAGATAATGATCATTAACCATTTATAGCCATTTATAGCCATCACACTATTTTCAGATAATGATCATTAACCATTTATAGCCATTTATAGCCATCACACTATTTTCAGACAATGATCATTAACCATTTATAGCCATTTATAGCCATCACACTATTTTCAGACAATGATCATTAACCATTTATAGCCATTTATAGCCATCACACTATTTTCAGACAATGATCATTAACCATTTATAGCCATTTATAGCCATCACACTATTTTCAGATAATGATCATTAACCATTTATAGCCATTTATAGCCATCACACTATTTTCAGATAATGATCATTAACCATTTATAGCCATTTATAGCCATCACACTATTTTCAGACAATGATCATTAACCATTTATAGCCATTTATAGCCATCACACTATTTTCAGACAATGATCATTAACCATTTATAGCCATTTATAGCCATCACACTATTTTCAGATAATGATCATTAACCATTTAAAGCCATTTATAGCCATTTATAGCCATCACACTATTTTCAGACAATGATCATCAACCATTTATAGCCATTTATAGCCATCACACTATTTTCAGATAATGATCATTAACCATTTATAGCCATTTATAGCCATCACACTATTTTCAGATAATGATCATTAACCATTTATAGCCATTTATAGTCATCACACTATTTTCAGACAATGATCATTAACCATTTATAGCCATTTATAGCCATCACACTATTTTCAGATAATGATCATTAACCATTTATAGCCATTTATAGCCATCACACTATTTTCAGACAATGATCATTAACCATTTATAGCCATTTATAGCCATCACACTATTTTCAGACAATGATCATTAACCATTTATAGCCATTTATAGCCATCACACTATTTTCAGACAATGATCATTAACCATTTATAGCCATTTATAGCCATCACACTATTTCAGACATGATCATTAACCATTATAGCCATTATAGCCATCCACTATTTTCAGACAATGATCATGTAACCATTTGTAGCCAATTTATAGCCACACACTATTTTCAGACAATGATCATTAACCATTTATAGCCATTTATAGCCATCACACATTTTCAGATAATGATCATTAACCATTTTAAAGCATTTATAGCCATTATAGCCATCACACATTTTCAGACAAGATCCATTAACCATTTATAGCCATTTATAGACATCACACTATTCTTCAGACAATGATTCATTAACCATTTACTAGCCATTTATAAGGGCCATCACAATGGTTTTTCAATAATGATCATTAAACCATTTATAGCCATTTATAGCCATAACACTATTTTCAGACAAGATCAATTAAACCAGTTATAGCCATTTATAGCAACACAACTATTTTCAGACAAATGATCATTAACAATTTCTAGGCCATTTATAGCCATCACCACTATTTTCAGACAATGATCTTAACCATTATAGCCATTTATCAGCCATCACACTATTTTAGATAATGATCATTAACCACTTTATAGGAATTATTAGCCATCACACATTTTCAGATAATGATCATTAACCATTTAGCCATTTATAGCCATCACACTATTTTCAGATAATATCATTAACCATTTCTAGCCATGTTATAGCGCAATCACACTATGTTCAGATAAGATAATAACCATTTATAGCCATTTATAGCCATTTATAGCCATTCCACACTTTTTTTGACAATGATCTTAACCATTTATAGCCATTATAGCAATCACACCAGACAATGATGTTAACCATTATAGCCATTTTATAGCCATCACACTATTTTCAGATAATGATCATTAACCATTTATAGCCATTTATAGCCATCACACTATTTTCAGATAATGATCATTAACCATTTATAGCCATTTATAGCCATCACACTATTTTCAGACAATGATCATTAACCATTTATAGCCATTTATAGCCATTTATAGCCATCACACTATTTTCAGATAATGATCATTAACCATGTATAGCCATTTATAGCCATCACACTATTTTCAGATAATGATCATTAACCATTTATAGCCATCGTGCCCAAACCTCCTGACCGGTGCCACGGTGCCAGGTCTGACGAGACGGTGACTGCACCCTGTGCTACGACAGGTTTCAAAAACGAAACGCACATCGTATATGTACAGTTTATTCAGTTATATTGTAGAGTTATAGACTGTTATAGACTGTTATATAGTCAGTCAGTCAGTCAGTCAGTCAGTCAGTCAGTCAGTCTGTCTGTCTGTCTGTCTGTAGGTACGTACGTACGTACGTACGTGTCTGTCTGTCTGTCTGTATGTCTGTCTCTGTCTGTCTGTCTGTCTGTCTCTGTCTGTCTGTCTGTCTGTCTCTGTCTGTCTGTCTGTCTGCCTGCCTGCCTGGCTGTCTGTCTGTCTGTCTGTATGTCTGTACGTACGTACGTACGTACGTGCATATGAATGAATGTATGTATTTGTGCATGTGTGCCTGTATGTATGTGGGCATGTGTGCATGCATGTATGTATGCATTGCATTGTATTGCATTGTATTCTATCGTATCGTATTGTGTGCATGCATGTATGTATGTATTGCATTGTATTGTATTGCATTGTATTGTATCGTATCGTATGGTATGGTATGGTATTGTATTGATGTATGGAAATGTATGTATGTGTATGTATGCATGTATCATGTATGTCTGTATGTATGTATGTCTGTATGTCTGTATGTCTGTATGTCTGTATGTCTGTATGTCTGTATGTCTGTATGTCTGTATGCATGCATGCATGTATGCATGTATGCATGTATGCATGTATGCATGTATGCATGGATGCATGGATGCATGGATGCATGGATGCATGGATGCATGGATGCATGGATGCATGGATGCATGGATGCATGGATGCATGGATGCATGGATGCATGGATGCATGGATGGATGCATGGATGGATGCATGGATGCATGGATGGATGCATGGATGGATGGATGTATGTATGTATGTATGTATGTGTATGTGTATGTGTATGTATGTATGTATGTATGTATGTGTATGTGTATGTGTATGTGTATGTGTTTATATTATGTATATTATTATGTATATTATTATGTATATTATGTATATATATTATGTATATATATATGTATATAACTATATATATATAATTATATACTATAGATGTAGGGTATTACCCGGCATGAAAATCCTTTCACTCTTCCAAAGCACCATGTGGCGATACCGCGCTTTGTATTCTCGGCGCAGGACCCCCAGCGGGACTTCCACAACGATTTTTGACCTTTGTAGGATGATTTCCCCACGATTTAGGCGCCTAAAAAAAAACGTTTTTATAGACCCCTTTGAGTTCGTTGTGTTTTGCTAATAACATCTTATAACTTATAACTCATTAATATGGATCTAGAATGATCTAGACCTGGATCTATTTGGTCTTGTTTGAAAGTGAACATGACCAATAGATACCAATAGGCCGACAGGAATGTCTGGGTAAATTGCATCATAATTCACTAACTAACTTATAGCATGTTTAGCTATTTTCCGAGACCAAACCTAGGCCCAAATCCTTCTGGATGTTGATTCAGGGTTGAAAGACCAGTCAAACTCTGGTGGCAAAAGCCGCTGCAAAACGTGACCGTCTTGGCGGAGCATTGTTGGGGATACCGGGATACCCCGCAAGGGTCGCAGCCAAAGATCACGAACCGAAGCAGTTGGATCCATTGGCAACATCAAACAAGATAAACAAGTTACAATATTCAAGCATTTAGATGCATTTAGAAGCATTTAGAAGCTATAAATATTGGGCCGTTCGGAAAAACAAATGACATCTACCGCACACGCTCCATGGTCAACTCGAGGCACTCCTCATCCCGAACTTTTTTCCTTGGCAAGAATTGTGATGAAAAGACTCAACCATACTCAACCAACCCAGAACTTTGATGGTTGGCTTTCATGATTCCCACTATATCCATCTATATCCACTATAAAAGAAATCCCATCAAGTGGGGTAGACCCTGCCTTTCAAACCCATTTGTTCAGTATCGAAAATGTGTTTGCCTATTTCCGAGATGATCTTGTCGTGAACCCAGGTAGACTTGAAGATATTTGACTTATGTAATTCAGAGCTGCGCTACCCTTGCTGCCTCGCAAACTAGTCATGATTTTGGAGCCCGAATTGTTGAAAAAACCCAGCGTCTTGTGCCGGAAATCCCATCAAGTGGGGTAGACCCTGCCTTTCAAACCCATTTGTTCAGTATCGAAAATGTGTTTGCCTATTTCCGAGATGATCTTGTCGTGAACCCAGGTAGACTTGAAGATATTTGACTTATGTAATTCAGAGCTGCGCTACCCTTGCTGCCTCGCAAACTAGTCATGATTTTGGAGCCCGAATTGTTGAAAAAACCCAGCGTCTTGTGCCGGTTCCCCCGGAGCTGTGCATAGTACTCATCTGCCAATTTTTCCTGGAAATTGGCCGAAAATGACTCAGTATAGGAATACCTTAAGTGGAAATCAATCCAAATGCGGTTTAAATCATTCTCAATTTGGATACTTCCAGTAAAACGATCCTTTCATGACTCCATGGGCCATGGAACCGGTCGGACATGAGAAAACAGGTGGACGCCAAGAACTCAGGTGGAAACGTCCTGCTTCCTTTTCTGCATCTGTCCCATCTTGTAGAGTTTCTCCAAGTGCACCTCACCCCATCATGTCTTGGGGCTGCAGTTCTTTTTCAAGAACAACTATTAAGTATGGATACAGTATGGATGTTTGATGATCACAAAAATGATATAAGAAAAACATAGAAAAACGGATAAAATCGGGCGCGCTTCAAAAATGCCACGCCACGGTGTTACCACAGGCTTTCGTCTCTTGGGGCGTCCCAGGTGGTCGAAAAAGACCCTCCTTCTCGTGCTTCTCCTAGAGGATCGGCTCGAATTGGAGCAGTGGATGAGACTTTTTTTTGGTGGAACAATGGCTCATGTATAATACTATAATATACTATAATTATACATAGTTATACTACAAAATATTATATAATACTATATACTCATATAATGTGAATGAAAAACGTATACTTGAGTTTGTACCCAAGACCCTTCCTCAAGAGGATGGTTTCATGTCTTAATCGTGGTGGTGAACCCATTCGTGAATCCAGGTCTTGGTGGCCAAACTCCAGCTATTTTTGCTGATAAAAACATGTCACGTCACTCTGCTAATAATCTCTCATCTCTCAGAAACTACCGGAGCAAAAAACAACCCAAGTGCCGCACCTTCTTTCGAGCGTGGTAGTCTTTAGCCTGATGCATCAAATGGTTCTGTCCTCACAAACATGAATAGAGTATTACAGTACAGGATATTAATTACTGGGATATTACAAAATGAGGTAAAATATGGTAGAATCCTATAAGCACTAGTCAAATTTCATCAAATGGCTCATGTGTTGGCTGCTACCCCACCTCTCGATGAAGTCTTTCGTACAAGTCTTCTCCATCCTGTCATGGCACCGGGATGCTCCAGGGTTCTGCCGTCCTTAGGGGTAAACGGTGTCTATATAATATATGTGGTAAATAAAGGGTAAACACATATTCCATATCTGGTTAGTAAATGTTAATAATATATGGTTGATAATGTATACATAATATATATATATATGGCTAATTGGCTAATGTATGTTACATGATTCTATGGAAAATATGTGTCACTAATGTATGGAAGATTTCTGCGGGGTTCCCTCTAATGATTCAGCCGTATCATCCCTAAGGATCTGGATCCAAGGGATGGTTTCAAATCTGTTAGATCCACAGGCCACAACCTCAGATTTCTGGCATCACTGAGGTACCGGGAACCACGAAACCTTTAGTGAAACTAAACTACGTGATACATATACATGTATATATATATACATATATACACATTCATCTATATATATACATATATACATGTATATATGTGTATATATAGCAATCCTGAAGCTCAATGCTCTGCAACTTGTCTACAGCCCCTTTCAAAACATCCTTCATAGTGAAGGCCTAGCTACCAATGAACCAACCCAGCAAGTTGGTCTACAAGCAACTAGCCTCTGGTAAACGTTTACAGTTTGCGAACTGGAAAATCACCGTTTATATTTGGGGGTTGATCATTCGACCCATTCCAATTCCAGACCCTATAGAATTGCTATTAATAGTATCTAGCTGGTGATTCCAACCATATTTGCCTAGAAAAAACATCACATCTATGTGTTTAATCAACTTTTGATAGCCGTTTCTAGATCTATAAATCAAAAATATAGTGTCATAAACAGGATACACATTACTAACCCATACTAACCCCAACACCCAAACATGATATGCTATGGAATTCCCAGCATGTCTCGTTTTTTTTGTTTGGATCCCCAGCCTGTAAGGGTCGCCTCGCTGGCTGCGAGGCACTGCGCGGCGTCCTCATGTCATGGGGCGCTGGCAGAACGTTTTTCAAGGGAATTCCCATTCAAAATGGTGGAGTTCACCTCGAAAAATATGTGGAGATATACCCTCTGGTAAATTAACTTGTTGACCCTGAAAATAGCCTAGTTTTAATGGAAACTCATCTTCCAACCCCGACAACTGCCAGGGTCTATGTTAATTTACCAGAGGGTATGTTATGATAATTTAATATATGATAATATATGATATATGATAACATAGGGTCACACAATTGGGATGCAATATCTCGAAACACTTAGTGGCTCGAACGGAAAAAAACATCAACCAATTCTGAGAATATGTGGGGCATATCTAACTGTATCATATCCCTTCCCCCCAATACCGCCGTTAAATGCCCATGAAGAAAAAAAACAAGACTACAGGGTTCAAAAAGGGGCGTATTTGATATTGGAAGGGACTAACTAGGTACACGGCTCACAGGCGGCCGTGAGGAATTCAGCACACCAGCAATGCTGAGCATTTGTTTTTCTGCTGATTTACAGTGGTCAGAGCATTCCAGTCCATTTTGGATCTTTCACGCAGCCGTGCCATTGGTTAAAGCGGCTTCATCTCGTAATTAGATGGGGAAAAATATGTTTTTTAGTCATTTTGCAATGCAGTCAAACTATTTGTTTCAGTGGATGAAGCCGTCATTGAAAGTCATGATATTTCTTCAAGTAGTTGATAGCGTGTGCCAGGGTACGGTGCAAGAGAAGAGTGGATAGCGTAGCAGCAAGTCCAGAGAATATCTTGTAAGGCGGGCAGCAAGAACGTTATCAGCCCCCCCCAAAACCCCCCCCAAGAAACAACAATGCAAAAATCAAGAGTGTCTTGCAAGTTACAAGAAGAAGTTGATAGCGTGTGCCAGGGTACGGTGCAAGAGAAGAGTGGATAGCGTAGCAGCAAGTCCAAGAGAATATCTTGTAAGGCGGCAGCCAAGAACGTTATCAGCCCCCCCCAAAACCCCCCCAAGAAACACAATGCAAAAATCAAGAGTGTCTTGCAAGTTACAAGAAGAAGTTGATAGCGTGTGCCAGGGTACGGTGCAAGAGAAGAGTGGATAGCGTAGCAGCAAGTCCAAGAGAATATCTTGTAAGGCTCATAGAGCTGGCACCCCCAAGAAAACGTTCCAAGAGAATCAAGCCCCCCCCCCCCCCAAAACCCCCCCAAAACAACCCCCCAAGAAACGTGTGCCAGGGTACGGTGCAATGGATAGCGTAGCAAAATCAAAGAGTTATCAGCCCCCCCAACCCCCCCCCAAGAAACAACAATGCAAAAATCAAGAGTGTCTTGCAAGTTACAAGAAGAAGTTGATAGCGTGTGCCAGGGCACGGTGCAAGAGAAGAGTGGATAGCGTAGCAGCAAGTCCAAGAGAATATCTCGTAAGGCGGGCACCCAAGAACGTTATCAGCCCCCCCCAAAACCCCCCCAAGAAACAACAATGCAAAAATCAAGAGTGTCTTGCAAGTTACAAGAAGAAGTTGATAGCGTGTGCCAGGGTACGGTGCAAGAGAAGAGTGGATAGCGTACCAGCAAGTCCAAGAGAATATCTTGTAAGGCGGGCAGCCAAGAACGTGATCAGCCCCCCCAAAACCCCCCAAAACCCCCCCAAAACCCACGGCCGTCTATAAGCCGTGGTCCGACTATCTATATAGCCCCATTATCTTCTATGAATCCTCATAGCTATTATTTCACACATCATAGATTCCCCAAAGATTCCTCAGCTTATGGATTTACCATGTTTTACCACTGGAGAAAACCAGGAATGGTCCTTAAAGTTGGTGGTTGACAATCTAAGGTTCTGAGGAGTCCTTGGACCTATGAAGGATATCTGCTTGGTGCCTTCAACCCCCAAGTTATATGACTCATAAAATGCCCCGAATATGGTAATAAAACATAATAAAACTACATATCTAATGCCACCAACCAGTTATTCTTGTTTTTCTCCAAAGAGCTTGGAGCAACCTGACCTACTCTCAGCCTGCGAAGATCCTGGAAGTCTTGATTCATTGATTGATTTGTTTGATGGATGGATGGATGGTTATAACTATGTAATTATCATCCACTTGTGATTCCAAGGATGGCCATCCAATGGCTAGCAACCGAGCTGCACCCATTGGTCACTCCTGGCAGCCTGTGGCGCAGCCTGGGCTGAGTCTGGGCCTTGCCGATGGCAGCATATGGACAGGATCCCTCTGCATCGAAGTAGATATTTACTGACAAAGGCTTGTTGGTGGTATATGTACCAGGGATGGTACTGCTACAAGAAAAGTGTCAAAAGAAAACGATCGCAAGTATGGGTAGGTGATTTGTCCCTTCTCAGGCATCTGGATCCATAGGGCTAGATATCCCATCTGGTAAACCCAATCATAAACAATCCCCCATTTATATAAATGCGTGGTATATAAACATACAAAAAAACATCATCATAACCATTTATATAATGGTATATAAACATACAAAAGAACACCATCATAATATATCATGTTTATATACCATTATATACCATAAGTCATCCCCCTATCATCATCATATTATATACCATTATATATCACAACATACCCCAATCATCCCCCTAAGTGAAGGTTATTCATGGGTTTACCACACATGGAGCATCTGGGGCTCTTCCAAATCGCTGCCACAGACTATGGGCCCCGCACCCTCAGGAAGACCCAACCTTACGGCCGCCAAAAAAAAAGCACCGGAGACACATCGCAAATATCATGATTATCATGGAGTCCCATGGAATGCTTGAAAAGTGCCAACAAAAAACAAACGTGTTTTTTTTCAGGAGTTATATACCCTCTGGTAAACTAACATAACTATGGAAAATCACCATTTTCAATGGTAAATCCACTATAAATGGCCATTTTTAATAGCTATGTTAGTTTACCAGAGGGTAGCGAGCATCGACCGATCCTGAACAAAACAGAAACGGTTTTGTTGTGTCATGCCTAGAGGCCGAGATTTTTCTGCTGTGTCCCGTTGCCTGAATATGCTGATTGTCGTGGCAAGGAAACCGTCCCGCATAAGGACTTGGATGAATATATACTCAACCTAAAGGGGATTGTTCAACAAAACTGGGGTTTAAAATAACGATATAATGGGATATGAATGGGATTTTAATGGTATATTATATAATGGGATACACTACTTGGTGGTAAAACCCCCCTAAGTGGCTTTGCGCCCCCGAGTTATCGACATTGCCCCTGCCCGAATCAACTGGGGTGTCATCAACCCACTCAGGGGTGAAGCAGCAAATTCTACTCCAGTTACGAAAAAGAATCTGGTTGATGGTATACACCTACCGCTCTGAAAAAAGTTGGGATGATGATTCTTCCCACTGAATGGGAAATTTTTAAACATGTTCCAGTCACCAACCAGAGAATCATTCCAGCTTATTTAACAGCCTCTTCATTGGTACCAATGCCAGGTGAGGGATTTCCTACCGATCCAGGTTCAAGCAGACAACTTTGCAAGCAAATTCAGATGTCAACGGGGGATTGTTTTACAATCTTTCATCCAAGGGAAGAATGCTAAGATGATGTCATCAGGATGATATCTTAAATCGAAAAAAAGTTACATATACAATTTGGCATTTGGAGGTTCTTGTAAACGCTCCTCACTTGAAGTTTATTGCCGGGTTGGCCACGGAACCGTCTTGACATTTCACCTGGCAATGAAACACGAAAAGCATGCCATGTTTCAAACATCTGGATTTCCAGTTCTCAGTTCTCAGCTTCGATTCCCTTTTTTGACACGTTTTTTTTACAGGTCATTACTATGCCAAAGAATGACCGCTGATGTCGTGCAGCCATACAGCCCCTGGGTCCCTGGGTCCCTGGGTCCCTGGCTCCGCAGTGGGCACGGAGGCGCCCGGGGCCACACGGCCCTTGGGAAGTGGCAGGTGGGGAAGGAGCTGGGCCAGCCAGTCGATGTCCTTCCGTGGAAGGCGGGGGAAAATGGGAAGCTACTGGGAAGGCATACCTCAAAAAATCCAGATCCGAGATGTTCAGACCATTTTTGATGTGTTTGGTTCTCATGAAATTCAGACCCATTTGGGGTTGGTTTCAGAGTTGTGGGAAACCATGCGTGATTGTCACTGCAAAAAAAAACATAAAAAACAATATCATTTATGTATGTATGTATGTATGTATGTATGTATGTATATACATATAATATGTCTATATGTATATATAATATGAATATGTCTATATGTATATATAATATGAATATGTATATATATATAATTATATATATATTGTATGGTTTGATGATGAACTATTGGGGTTCGTGGAGTTTTCCCATTGGCTTTCCTTTGGATTTCCCATTGGGATTACAGTAGCCGTCGCCCAGATTTGATAAATATTTAAATGTCACTGGGCCAGTCATCTATCTAAATTACACTTAAATAGTGAACCACACTTCAACTATCTTCAACTACCATCTGCAGTATTAGTGCAGTTCATAATTCTATATTATTCTCAGAATTCACAAAGCACCCATGTTGAAACATTCACTGGGCTAAAGGGTTCACCAAAAGGATTCAAATCGTTAGTTTCCTGCCCGCTCCTCAGCCATCACGGAGGGCCGGGACATGGTCGAGTCACAACATATCCTCGGAGTCGTTTGAGGATTCACCAAGAAGGATATGTTTGGGATGTCTTGTTTTATGAGTTGATGTTCAGTGTTTTTTTCTGCTTAGCTTCCTTGTGTTTTTGTTTGAGTTTCTCAGATGTTTGATTCAGTTTCTGATGTGTTTAACAAACATAGAGTGATGTTGTTGCAGATTTCCGATATTTGTGGATCTATTGGATGTAGGAGTGTAGCCCGGGAGACCCAAGGAGATGGAAATCCCCCCCCCCATAGTACCCCAGCTCCCATAGCTGCCATACCACGAAACCACAGGATATCTCTGCTACACTGTTGATGTTGGAAGTGTATGGAATCCTCAACTGTCTCTAAAAATGCAATAAGACTTTCTGAGATTGTTGTTGATCATGGAATCATGGCTAATCTAGGATATCAAACGATATTAGGAACAACACACATTGCTGGTTGCTGTATATTGCAGTCCCCCCAGAAACATGACCCAACAAACCCCTGGAATGGTTGGACGGTGATTCACAGCCGAAAAGTCACAGGATTCCACCCAAAAAACCCTGGCGAGCGTCATTTTGAAGATCTGATCAGCTTCGGAGGCAGATAGGACCTGCTGTTCTTGCATCCAACTTCGGAATTCCTGGCACAGTCCGCGTTGGTGTCTGGAAAAAATGTTTGGGCGAACGTGAACAAAAGGCCCTAAAACACCAAAAAGGCCATATCGTTATGAGGATAATGATTCACTAGTCTACTAGTCACTAGTGAATTTAGGGATTTCCATATGGATCATATGGACACCCTATTTTGAGACAAACCCACTTGAATCATAATGATGAGTTTATTGTTCAGCTCCAATGCGAGAATGCGCAGATTGGCTGCTCATGGCTAGCATAAAACATCCTTGTTGATTTAGGATAGACAAATGGCATGACCATGCTTGCCCCATACCCAGGTGTAGTTTGCTTTAGCGAGATGGGATGCAAATCCCTGCGAAGAAGCACGCTCTTCTTTCAAAACTTGATCTGGAATGAAGATGTGCTGTCTTGCTTATCGGTGCTACTCTTGATGGAACATGAGTTTTATTCATGAGTCAAGTTAAGTCGTCCCGTTCTCACCAGACTTCCCATGAACCTCAGATAGTGCAGACATCGTCCATCATCTTCATCATCTTCCATCTACAGTTGTGATGATTCTCCAACCAACAACATATATAGACCAACTTGAATGAACGCCGACCAGGGGAAACCCACGAGATTTCTCGTAAACAGATCAAAGTTCGCATCGATAGGGCAGGGCAAAACCCAGCCTTCTGTTTACACCCTTAAATAGCCAGTAAAATGCAATAGATGATAACCACAATCCATGGATGTTTAGTGCAATAGAACAATATTTAAGTAACTTAAAATCTATTGCACAAAACTTACAAAGTCCGATGGATGTTCCGAACACCACAAAAAATATCGGGTGTTGATCCATCCCCTGGCCCCCTTTGGTCGCCCCTAGCAGCACCTCTTTTCGTAAGCGGCGACCTCCTCTGCCTCAGTGCTCGAGCGAGCGAACAAGTGACGCTTCCGCTAGTCAGCCCGGGGTCCGATTTTCTATTTGAACAAGGGACACAATCCTCATAAGAGCGTTGCTGATACTGGTACTGATTGGTTCAGGGGTACTTGAATTTGAGAAATAGTACTAATTAAAACTGATACAGTAAATAATTAGGTTGGCCCCCGAAATACAGCCGTCGTTTCTGGCTAGATTTCCTTTGCACGTTGCTTTCCACCTGCGTCCCTGGGGTTGTTTTGGTTAACTTTCCATGTTTGTGGGTAAAAAATCTCGTGTGTGCTGCTTAAGTCAACTTGTGTGGCTCTAATCCCCCCTTGAGTTCGCTAACTCCAAATGTTTGCAGGCCAAGTCCATTTCATTTCTGGTCAATCTCAGTTTTTTGTGAGTTTGTGGCTTAAATCTATGTATTGGCTCACTTCAATCAGCTAAAATAGTTTTAAATCTAGCAAATATATGCAAATATATAATCTAGTATAATCTTGCATCATCTTACAACATCTTAAATCATCTTAACTCATCTTAAATCACCTTAAGTTCCTGTGTGTTGTCATTCAATTCCATCTTCTTTGGGTCAACAGTCCCTCCGTGGGCCCCCGTGCCCAGGGCTTTGGCGGCCAGCTCTAGGCTGCCGAAAGAGCTCTGCAGGGAGGCAACGAAGCGACTCAGCGCCTTTCGAGATCGTCGACTGGGGATGGGTCAAAACCAATAGTACCCCTGTAGTTTACCCCAAAATAGCTGGGATTTATGGATGTTCATTCCCCTAAAAATGGTATGTATAGAAAAAAGATCCATAGCCATGTAGGAAGCAACAAGTTGATGGACAGTTGATGGATACTTCATGGATAGTTGATGGATAGTTGATGGATGATGTTCATGGATGAAGTTCATGGATGATTTTCATGGTTGATTACTGGATAATGCCATTTTAATAGCAGCTAGTGCTCCAGATACCATCTGAGAAGGTGTAACTGGGTTCCATTTCCAAACACCACCAAATTAACCAGTCTCAGAAGCCTAGAGATGGGGAATATCTGTGAAAAACAACGTAGGTTTGTGATGTAACTGCAGTTGATGGAAATCCTCTATAAATGGAGGCTTGAACGGGAAAACCATCTATAAATGGGTGGTAATGTCACATCCTTGGTCAACTAAGGTTTATGGGGGATGTAGCGAACTAGTTAATGGGATTATAAACCAACAAACATGACGGGGCGGGGGCACCATTTTGTGTCATTTCCCAAAATATCAGATGAACTCAACTTTTGAGTCAGGCTGAGTCGTGTTTTTTGACAGATCTTTGGATATATAAATTATATATACATATAGTTATACATATATTATATATATTATATAAGTTACACAACAACTTGAGATTTCAGTGACATCTCTGTTGGACGTGGAGCCAGTGGAGCGTTCTGTTCAGTTCTTCACATCTCCGACGCCTCTGCCGTGGCCCAGTGGAGTTCGCAGAGGGTCACCTGGTGGAAACTGATGGAAAACTGATGGAAGATTGGGATTTTACATGATTTTACAATGATTTTGGGCACCATTTTTTAAAATATTTAGACCAAACTGTTATGTCGCCATTTTTTTAAATATGTGTTCCACTGTTATGTCGCCAGTGACTGGAAAGAAACTGATTTTACCAGCCCAAACAGTGGAATGACATAACAAACATAACACTCTTGGAAGTACGTCCCACAAAACTGGAGTTGATTGCAGGTTTATGCCGCGTCACATTTTTTCGATAATCAATCAGTTGCATTTTTTTTGAGCAATTCAAGTATGTCAAATATTGCTAATCGAAGGGATATCCCTGCCATCGAGTTGGTTGGTTGACCCAGAACAGTCCTGAGAATCCCAACATTGGTAATCTTCGAACAGGTACCCTCTGGTGAACATACAAAAAGCAATGGAAAGATCCACCATTTTTCATGGGAAAACTCACTATTTCGACTGGGCCATTTTCAATAGCTATGTTAGTTCACCAGAGGGTATCTCCTTTTTGTTAAACTTGAACATCCGTCTTTTGATCGTTGGGTTTTCTCTAACTGAAAATCGGGTAATGGTTGATCATCAGCTCTCCCCTGAAAACGTCAATACTATAAGATACTATAAGCATATGTGGGTATTTGTTGAAATTGGATTAAATTCGGGTATCCCGTATTCTGCACTGGCTTCCACATCAAATGGATGATAACGTGGGGTCCCTCCCCATTTTAGGAAATGGTCAAATTTAAATGGTTATATAAATATAGAATCCCAGTACACCCAGTCCTGCAACGGTTTAATCTCGATGTTTGAATGTTTGGTAGGGTTTGATATGCTTATTGGAGAAACATCACATAAACACATTGGTCGTTGGTTGTTACACCCCCCCTTCATGGAAAAACAACGCGGAATTTCACGTAATCAAACTAATTAATTATACTAAGTTACCAAATCCATTTTTATAGTCCTTTATTTATTAAGTTAAATCGGTTAAATCCCCATTTAAATCACGGGCAAATCATCCGTATGATTTCGGGACCACCTCCCAGATCCCTGGGTCCCACTGCACCTTGCCAGAGCCATCAGCATCCAGCGCATGCCAGGCGTCTTTGACGTTGCCACTGTAGGTCATGCGACGACACCTGCGAGTTACGATACCGGTGAACACGATACCTGGTGACCAAACATGGCTACAGTAATCTAATCAAGGAAAATGGCCATGGCAATCGAATGGGAAAGTGGCTATCTAATCTATAAATGGGAAAATTTATCTACTCTCTATATATCCAACCGTACCTTCTTAGGAAGTGTCTGGGGTATGATTTAGGGGGTTAGCCGTACCTTCTCAGACAGTGGCCATGGATCCATAGGGACTGTAATCCAATGGGGAAAGGAAAATAATCAAACTCACAGGGTATATTTGATAATCCAATGATCAAAGATGGCTGGGAATTGGGACATGATGGACATATGCAATTGCCATGTTTCATTGCTAGAGGGCAACCCTGATTTGGGTTTAGTAACGGCTTATAACCCCAAATGATCTGGAAACCACGGGTTTGATCGGGAAAAATTGAGGGAACATGATTTATAGAATCATCCATAAACATCAATAGTGGTGGTGCCAGAGTCATTGTGATGAAAGAAAACTGTATAAAAATTATAAACAATTATAAACATATATAAACATATATAAACATATATAAACATATATAAACATATATAAACAAATATAAACATATATAAACCAACTTGACAATTGGGGGGGCACCGCCTTGTGATGTAAACAAATCATGGTGTTGTCCAACACATTTTTTCCTATGCCCTATGGATACAGCTGTACCTTCTGAGGAAGTGTGATCGGGTATGATCGGGTATGATTGGGTATGACAACAGGGGGGGTGTTTATCCCTGTTCAGCAAGTATCTGGATTCGATATGGTATTGTGAAAAACACCCAAAAGATTGTTGTAAAACGTTGTGTCTTAAATATATATATATGTGAAATCCTTGGAACCAGAAATCGATGGTGGTTAAAGAACAATTTCTTTCTGTTTCTTTGGAGTTCCAGGATGGGTAATACTTACCACATGATATTCCCAGACCGGCTCCTGGTCTGGAGACAGAGATGGCGACACCACAGCTGGCAACTATCAATGCTTATGTGCGTGTGTCTGAGAATGGGTTGTATCATTTTATATCCTTCAAGTAGCCATGTTCGCAGAAAGCAATGGTTCAATCACTGAATTCGAAGGTCCAGGTACCCAATGTTCAGACAAACACAAACGATCCCATTTTGAATGAAGGGGTCATCATTGAGAGGAAATCCCAATTCCTCTCATCACCGTGGCAAATCTTTCTGGAAACTGCCCGACCCAAAAAGATCCTGCCCCAATGGCCACCGGTCAAACAACAACAGTTCTTCGATGTGCATCCCAGTTGGTATGTGCTTAATCAGTACATGGAGGTTTCCTAAAGTGGCGGTACCCCCAAATCATCCATTTAAATATAGGATTTTCCATTTTGGGGTACCCCCAGGAAACCTCCATATTGCAACCAACTTCTGACTGGGATGCACTGACTGTTGTTGGGTTCCCGGACGCGTCGCAAAACTCCGCGAAGCTCAGGTAGCCGTGCCCGGCACCTGCTGCGACGCTTGCATGATCCTCGACGTTCAGAGATGAGTACGATCTGTTTTTTTGTTGTAAAGAGTGTAGCAGAAAGGATCTCAAAATTCATTCCCCCATCTTTATATATCATATATATCTTCATTAGATGTTCGTACTAAAAACCCAAAATGTTTGCGCCCCAACTCATCAAAGGATCATCCCAGTCCATTGAGCCCCTGCATCTCAGCCATTACTATCCAACTTAGCCCAGTTCTAAACCAACATACCTATCAGAAAACACATCTGTGCATCTGACATTGTAACAATTGTATGTTTTTTTTTGCGTGTTCGCCAAGAGAAAGACCAAAAAAAAACATATATATATATATACAGGATACAGCGACTGATTTCCAGCTTAACCTCTAGTAATCAAACGTGTTTTGCTGAAAAATCCACCATTTATAGATCATTTTCCCATTCAAATCACCTTTTGAGAGATGTCCAAGCCACATTTATTTGATTACACCGGAGGGTAATTCATCTATATATCCGATTAGTATCCCATTGATGACTCGTTAATATCCATTAATATCCATTAATATCCCATTACCATTGTTACTGTATTGGTTGTTATTAAATCGTCGTCCATTTATTGTTGGTTGGTTAAATCATGTTATATCCATTAATTTCCATTGGTATCCATTAATTTCCATCAATTTCCATTGATATCCATTAATATCCATCCTTATATAATATCAATGAATATCCATATCCATTAGTATCCATTAATATCCGTTACTATCAATTAATATAATTACATTGAAATCCATTATTACTCATCAATATCAATTAATATTTATATATATATAATCTTGATTATCCATTATAAAAAATAATCATTAAATTAAAATCAATGACTATATATATATAATTATATATATATCTATCAATATCCATTAATGTCCATTAGTATCCACTAATATCCGTTAATATCCATTAACATCCATTAATATTCATCAATATCAATTAATATGCATTAATATCAAAAAATAACCATCTATATCCAATAATATCCAGTAATATCCATCAATATCAATTAGTATCCCTTAACATCGATAATATCCAATGATATCCATTAATATCCATTAATATCCATTACTATCCATTTATATCCATGTATATCCGCTATTAACATCCCTTAATATCAATAAATATCAATAAATTATGCAGAAATTTCCATTATATAATATTCATTAATATCAACTAATATATACATATATATATATATCATTTATTCCATCAATAATTCTTGATATACATGTATGTATATATATATATACCGTTTCTTCCATCGATAATCATATGTATATATATATATATCAATTAAAATCAATTAACATCAATTAGTATCCGGTATTATCCAGTAATATCCGCTAATATCCAGTGATATCCCTTAATATCCATGAATGGACATTAACACCAAATAATGTCCATTAATATCCATTAGTATCAATTAATATCCATTAACAGCCACCAACAGATGATTACTACCTTTCATCCACTTTCGGACTGGAATGCCTATCCAAGGAACCCGAGTCTGAGACGCCGGACAGTCCAGAATTCGACGCCAAGCAGCCGCGTAGGTCCCTGGCTAGGCCATGGCTTTGGTACCGGGAAATCCTTGAAATCCTCTGGTGAAAATCACATTCCTTACTGCATAACCATAAATAGGTACTGTAGGGGTTAGAGCCCAGCCCATTTTCAGTTGTACTAGAAGAATGCAATATTTACATATACCTTGACAATGGCCCAGTCATATGGGATACATGATACGGGTATCACAAAAAACCACGCACATCATAGATGATGTGGGTAATGGTACCATGAGGGCACAGAAGCCAAATACACGTGCCATCACTGTCTGGCCACTTTGATTTCTACAAAGAGCCTGACTTTGTTGTTCCGTTCTCTCGCAATGTTGGATTGTTTTGGATTGGCCACGTCCACCAGTTGCAGATCGCGTCAAGTCTATCCTCATCGCAATGTTTGATTCATGATCAAAAAATCTTGATTTTGTCAGACGATACAAATGACCATCATATAACCCATAAATACGGAGAAAATTCGCTTGCCGTCATTGTCCCCGTGGTTTCTATTTGCCATTATTTATATACCTGGTTCCTAGCTGGTTCTTGGTTAGCCACCGAGCATTTCTTGGTTATACCATGTGGCCCAAAGACCAGGCATTGCGGAATCAAATCACAAACTTTGTATGTGTTTGGTTGGTGGATTAAGCGAGTTTTACAAGCTGGTATAGGCACCAAATAGTCATCCCCAAAAAGATGGAAATGTAAATCATTTGGGATGACTACATAGGTGATATAATATATATAATATTATATATAATATAAATATATATATATATATTTAACATAAATATATATATATATATATCATACCAAAGACTACTACCATGGGGTCCCCATGGTCCCCATATGTGTCCTAGTTCACACCAGTTCGACCTCCACGCCGAAGCAGCTCAGAGCGAAAGCGGCTCAAGGCCGCTTCAGAACCTGTTGCTGTAACAAGGTGAGGCCCCCGTTGTCGAAATCGCAACCAACAAGTTGACGCACATTTGCAATGATTAACTAACGATTATGTGGCATACAACTATAGTTCATGGGCTTATAACGCAACTCAAAACATTGGGGGCCTCACCTCACCTTGTAATGTCAATAAGATTTCATAGAAAAAAACATAGGCTGGAAATAAAATGTCAATATGTTGCTCATCATGTGTTTGGGTGATTTGTTATTAGTTGCTAACGGGTCCTATTGTGGCTTTAACTCCACTACGAACTAGTTTCTTGAGGCGTTCATCTTAGATACCCAGCCATATCCCCTGCCTGCCCTTGGTGTTCGTGGCGTGCGGGGCCTCGGGTGCTTCACAGTTGGCTTTGGGATGGTGATTTTGTGTACCAAGTCTTAGGTTCCACCAAAAAAAACAAATAAACCGGTATTTTTTCTTAGTCATAGAGTTATTTATTTATATATATATACATATATATATATATATGTATCCCATGTTCATCTACAAATGGACCTTTCATGTCCTTTTCTACCTCACCGTTTCCCCATCATCTTCATCCATCTTTCAATATGTTCTGCTGGTTGCTACCACTGTGGTTCCCAAACGAAGCCGGCCGGCTGGGAGCCTGCGTTTTGCCCATTGTTACAGATGGTGACTTGTGGCTGGTGAGTGGCCGAATTTATGGTTGGTCCGTCCCGAAAAAAAAAATAAACAAAGTTGGACCACCTGGGGTTGGTTGGTTTGTAAAAAAAACAAATTTGGGCCAACTGAGGTTTAGTCAGCTTAAATGCTCTTCAATCCAACGACAAGAATGACTGGGTTGTGGGATGTTGTGGAAAAAGTGGCCTCAACTAATTAAAGCAAGTAGCAGAGCGTCAACCCCGGACAAATTGTGGTTTTGGATTACCCTCCAGCAATCAATCATGGCAATGTAAAACCCCGCAATATTTGATTCTTGGTGGGTAGATCAATTGACATCATTTCTCGGTAAAATATGGTCCAATCGACCTGTTTAATGGCATGGTAAAACCCGTCGGGTTATCTTACAGTAAACCCAGAATCCCACTACTGATCATCATGATATCATCATCTGCTCATTATTGTGAATAATCTATCGAGGTCCTTTCTACTTGAATATATATATATATATATACATATACTAATTATACTATATATATATACACATCAATACATACAATGTATGATTATATATATATAACATTATATATTTTATACACATACATACACATGTATTATTACATTTGTATACCAGTAGATATACATGTCAAGTTAGGCTTAATAATACCGCCCAACTAGCGAAACCCGGGCTCCCCCGATTTTGGTGCAATACTAAATTCAATTAGGTAGCGTTTTCAGCCCTAATAATGATGCTCCACCAACCCAATTAGTGAAGCCCGTCCGGGATCCCCAGATTTTTGGTGTGACTAATTTGTTTTTACACCCTTTTATTCTTAAACGGGGTTACAGTTTCCATGGCTACTTACTGACCCTTTCCTACTTTATCCCTTCTTTGACTCTTCTCATGCGTATGTTTCTCATGCTTACCACATCCTGCTGATGCAACTAATTCCCATGCATTGTATCCTCTCTCATCTCTCTGTCACTGTCACTCTCTCTCTCTCTCTCTCTCTCTTCTTGCATATATATATATATATAAACACATACAGATACATGCAGACGTAAATGTAAACATGTATATATATATATAATGAAATATGTATATACATATATATATAATGTTATATATATAATGTTATATATATATATAAAGTACTATATCTATATATATAATGTAATATATATATAATGTAATATATATATATAATGTAATATATATATAATGTAATATATATATAATGTAATATATATATATAATGTAATATATATATAATGTAATATATATAAAATGTAATATATATATATACACGTACCGGTATAATTACCAGCAAGATTTTAAATGGTACTAGCTTAGTATTGTTCTGATGTTGTCTCTTCATCCACCTCCCAAGCCTGCGTTTGTCCATTTCCCAATTTCATGACGCCCAGCTGGTGTCTTTACCATTTTGACTTCGAACTGCGCTTAGACTTCCAAATCTGCTTCGCGCCACAACGGCGTGCAATTGTTCATTTCTTGTCTCCCCAGATGGCTCCGCACCCGCCGCTCTAGCGAGCCTAATTTTTGACCCCCCGGAGCCACAAAACATTGGACAAAACACAGTGTTTCACAACGTTTCTACCTTTTCGCACACCTGCATCTTCTTTTTTCTGACTCTGTCTCTTCTCTGATCTTCTTTCTTGTTCCTTTCTCTTCTCTGACTCTTCCCACCTCTTTTTTCCATCTGTCCATATTGTCGGAAGTTTGACTTCTAAACTTCCTTCAATCATTATATCCCCATTGTTGCTTATATATCACCAATATATAGCCATCTTATATGATACCTTATGGCTATTAGCTATGCCTCTCACGCTGCACATGCCTCCCGTCGCGGTGTAGCACTTCGCGCGCCACTTCGCTGCCGTGGCTTCGCGGAGTTCGGGGAGTTCGGGGCGGGGGAGTCCTGGCGGCCATCGGGTGGGAGACATGAAAAATAAACATCACAGGATTTCATGGGATATTAATGGTAGAAGTACTTGCCTGATATAAGGCTATAATCAACGTAGTATGCTAATCTGATATTGGTTTCAATGGTAAATGAAAGATAATGAAAGTATGTTGCAATATGTTACTAACATGAAGTAAGGCTATTTTAAGCGATGTTTACCTCTACCAACCATCATTCCAATGAGATTTAATGGGATATTACAATTCTCAATATGGTAAGTTTATCATTTGCTTGACCAAGTCATTGGGATATTTTCATGGTAGATTGTAAACGACAAGTTTAATGAGATATCAATGGGGATATGTTGGTGGTAATAGGATTTGAAGGAATATTACCAGGATTCCTGGTTTTTTAATGTGAATGGTAAATGGCAAACTTATCCCCATGAATCAGCAACTATTGGGATAATACAAGCATTTAGACATTATAAATTTGGATTTATTGGGATATTATATGATATTATTGTGATTTATACCAGGATTTTTTATGTCATATCATATAACTAACCAACTTGATATACTAATAACTTTGGATCCAGCCATACCTTCGGAAGTATTACTAGAGGGTATGATGATGTGAGTGAGTTGTCCCTTCCAGAAGGAAGTACTTGGATCCAAAGGGAATCATGATTCAACCAGAATTAACAATGTTGTTTAATCCACGATTGCTAAGTAACTCTTGACAATTAACTGCAAATTGTTGCCGGTTTTAGACATTTCACATTAAATTAAATAAGGGGTTCAGAATAGTTTTTGGAGATTTTTTTGGCTCAGGTTTTGTTTTTTTTTGCTTTCTTTCCTGGTACCATTTGCCTTGTATTTGCAACAGTTTGGAACTAGAATCTGTCATTGTGCATGGTATTTGCTACGTTTTGGTATGGTTACTTTGCATTTTGTATGGTATTTGCTACATTTTGGCATGGTTACATTGCATTTTGCATGACACTTGCTACATTTGGCCATGTTCGCCTTCCATTTTGAATGGTATTTGCCACGTTTTGGCACTTCAACCTCTCATTTGCATGGTATTTGCTACATTTTGGTACTTCAAACGTTCATGTGGGTTTCTTGAGAGTTTCTTTAGGCTTTCATTTAGGGCTTCATCTTCATTTAGGGCTTCATTTAGGGTATCATTTAGGGTTTCATTAGGATTTCATGTGGGAATTCATTTAGGGTTCATGTAGGACTTCTTTTTAGGCTTTCATTTAAGGTTTCTTTGAGTTTAGGGTTTCTTTAGAGTTTCATTTAGGGATTCATTTAAGGGTTTCTGGTCAGGCTTTCTTATCAGGTTTCCAAACGTTCATGTGGGTTTCTTTGGGTCTTCTTTAGGGTTTCATTTAGGGTTTCTGTAGGGTTTCATTTGGGGCTTCATTTCGGGTTTCTTTAGGGTTTCTTTTATGGTTTCATTTATGGTTTCATTTATAGGGTTTCTTATCAGGATTTCACATCAGGGTTTTCAAACGTTCATGTTGTTTTTTTTAGGGCTTCTTTAGGGTTTCATTTAGGGTTTGATTGAGGGTTTCTTTAGGCTTTCTTTTATGGTTTCATTTAAAGTTTCTTTAGGGTTTCATTTAGGGTTTCATTTAGGGTTTCATTAAAGGGTTTCTTATCAGGATTTCGCAACGTTCATGTGAGTTTCTTTGGGGTTCTTTAGGGTTTCATTTAGGGATTCTTTAGGGTTTCATTTAGGGTTTCATTTAAGGTTTCATTTAGGGCTTCTTTAGGGTTTCATTTATGGCTTCTTTAGGGTTTCATTTAGGGTTTCATTTAGAGTTTCTGTGGGGTTTCATTTAGGGTTTCATTTAGGGTTTCATTTAGGGTTGTGAGTTTCTTTGGGGCTTCTTTAGGGTTTCATTTAGGGATTCTTTAGGGTTTCATGTAAGGTTTCATTTAGGGCTTCTTTAGGGTTTCATTTATGGCTTCTTTAGGGTTTCTGTAGGGTTTCATGTAGCAATTGGTTTCGGGATTCTTTAGGGTTTCATTTAGGGTTGCATGTAGGGTTTCTTATCAGGAGTTCTTATCAGGATTTCTTTAGGGTTTCTTTGGGTTTCACCTAGGGTCTTTAGGGTGTCATTTAGGTTACAAATAGGAGAGAATATAAAGCAAAAGAAAAGAAAAAATAGAACAGTAGAATTAGAAAGGCACAGAAGCACAACAGCAGAAAAGCAGAGAAGCAGAAAAGAAAAGAAGCAGGTAAAGCAGAGAAGCAGAGAAGCATGAAAAGCAGAGAATCAGGAAAAGCAAAAAGCAGGAAAAGCAAAAGCAGAAAAGCAGAAAAGCAGAAAGCAGAGAACCAGGACCCCAAAAACAAATCCAAAACCTGCCGCAAAAAAATGAAAAACATAATAAATAAATAGCCCTCCTTAAATAAGTTACGGACTATTTCATGATTGACAATAAAGGCTTCTACTGATTGGTCATTAATTCTTATGAACATACTGTATTATGAACATTTATGACGATTCATCAAAAAGTGTGGATGTGTGATCCAGTGATCCACCTTGCCGCCTGGACAAGCACGGCTTCAATGCGTTTCTCACAAATGTCAAATGGATTAAAATGGGAGATCCTTGTTGGTAATGTGATGTAATGTGATTACCAACAATATCATCGGAATTCCTTTGACATCCCCATTTTTCAGGGACATTGATTTGACATTTGGGCCCTGCAACAAGCGCTTCCGAGACGGTGCTGAAATCAGGTCTTAAGCCACATGAAGCGCCGCTGATGCCCCCGTGAGTGGCAAGTCTCAATGTCAGAGTCATAGGACGTCGGAATCCCATATTAAGTAACATCATCCCATATTTCTCAATGGCTAACAACTTGCCAATAGATTAATAGTAATTCACCAACCTGGGCCTGAAATAAGGCCTTTTGGGGATAAACTTAACCTTATTTAACCTTACTAACCTTGATTCCAGCGACGTCTCAGAGAGGTCGTTATAACCGACCTAGAACTTCGTGCGGAATTTCACCCACTTGCCAACCCCCGCACCTCTCACAAACGGCCTCCTGTGCAAACAGTTCACTGATATCACTCAGATCTGTCTCAGTTGGATCCAGTGAGGCCTTTATGATTGGTTTAAACATGTTTAAATTAACTATTGGACGTGAGTAATTGGTTTTGAGATGCTTTAAGAATGCTTTAAGTGACTATTTGCAACCCCCAAGTTGGTCATACTTTGATTTTACTAAACTATACTGAACTTGCGTATGGGGTCGTAGGCCTTTGGTGCTAAGCACCCAAGTGAGTTCTGCCGGCACGCCCGGCCTGGCCACAGAGCAAACCTGAGCGCCGAAGGGAAGTTGATGGCCGATGGGTAAATCATGGGTAAATCATGGTACCCTTCTGGTCGTTTCACAGTTAGCTAAGTTAGCTATAGAATTTTCTGGAAACCATGGCCCCTTGAGATTGATTTATTTCGATGATTTACCTAAATTAGATATTTTGTTTTTTAGCTAAATGAATATACATGAGAGCATTACCAGAGGGTAGATCTCAAGGGAATCCGGCATACCCGTCTAATCGTCTATATGGAGAGACAGGTCGTATTTGTGATGTTGAAAGCATGAACATTGCGCTTTCCCACTACTGGTACCGTGTCTGAGATGATCAGTGCGTGATTTTGAACTGGAAGCCTCTACTTAAGTGCAAAACAGCAGCGATTAAAAACAGAAACGCGTGTTTACCGCCACAAGAGATTAGGCCTTGAAATGCTGCACCTGCCACGCAAAAACAACAATCACCTGCGGCAGAAAAAAAAATCACTTGCGGTAGTAAAAAATGAACGTTTTTACTGCCACAAGCGATTGGCACATCTTACCGCCACAAGCAAGGTAGGAGCCGTTAAATCCTAACGTGTTTCGCAAAGGTCACGAAAATACAGACCCCATCCCCATCCCCGACCACGCGCCTGCCGCTGGTGTCCAAGATGGAGCTGTTACGGGACACCTGCGGTCAGGTGGACCTGGTTGTTGTTTTTCTGTTGGATTTAATGGATGTCATGGGGGTTAATGGGGTTTCATGGGATTTAGATAGGGATTTAGTAGGATTTCATGGGATTCAATAATCAACAATGTGGAGTTTCATCCATTCAAGCCATGCCAAGCTTCTTTTTTCGTTTAATCGGGAACTCATCGAACTGATTAAATGGGGGCCTTTCCAGCAAGCCATGTGACTGATTACTAAAGGGACATTATGATCCTGTAAAATTTGGTAAGGTCCCGAGAAGTCCTGTAGAATTGGATCATTGAAAATCCAGTTACTTCTGCTTGCTCAACTACAATCCCTGCGTGTTTTGGTTGCTTCATTCACCCATAAAAGGTACCAGTTGCAAGGGCGCTTCAACCTAAGGGATTGATCTGCGCAATTCTTTCAAGCACTTTTTCCCTGCCGCTGAAAAAGTAGGCCATTTTTGCATTCCACTTAATTCATCTTAATTCCACTTACCAAGCATCACTTCTGAGAGGACGCTGAGACCTCCCCGATATTTTTCGCAGGTTGACAGGACGTGTTTCTGTTAGAACTTATAACGTCCAACTCCCAAGGAGTGCAGTCGAACAAGTTCTTTGAGCTCGACAAAAAAAATAATAATGTGGGTAAGACAATAATAAACCACCCATTTGGGAATGGTTTATACCACCTATTTATGGTGATTTGGGGGATGGTTTATTGTTGTTTTACCCACATTACCAGAAAAATAACAGTTGCAAGGGGTGAAATCGCTGACATCAACTCTATAATTTTTAGGATCATGCGGCCTTCAGTGGCTGTGGTAGGAGGGATCTACAGGGGAAGATTTGCCAAACAGCATTGAGGACACAACATACAATCAACAATGCAAGGCAAGAGCGATAGCCATCAAAAATGAACAAACTCTATATATATATAGTGATATATATATAATATGGTAATAATATATATATATATAAACAATAACAATATAATACAATATAATACAATACAATACAATACAATACAATATAATACAATACAATATAATACAATACAATATAATATAATATAATGTAATATAATATAATATAAAATAAAATAATATAATATAATATAATATAACATAATATATATATAATATAATAAAATATATATGCATGCAAAATGGACCATAGGCCTAGATGATTTACCTATAGATGATGATTCATGATTCTCCATAGCTATATTGGTTTATCAAAGGGCATAATGTGAACCTGTAGAAGTACTCCTCCGGATCAGATTGGCTGGAACACAGTCTCTCGACCCGTAGTTTAGATATCTTTCGATCTAAGTGGGCCGACTCTTTGGGTGTCGTCCCATTGAGAATCCAAACATCTCCAAACATCCATTGATGGGTAAATCATTATCATTCACTCAGCTGAAACACAGTTTTATGATGTTTTTATTGGGAGAATCCCCCCAATCCTAAGCACAGTGAGGTCACTATAAGTTACCCACATCAATGGCTTTACCTGCATCGCGTCATGGAAAATCATGACTCTCCAACCCAACCCCAACACCTCCCCGAAGCGCAGTTCCAGGCCCTCCACGGACAATGCCTGCGTTACCAAGAAATATCCCCAAATCATCCCAGATCAATCTATATAGGGAAAAAACGTATATAATTAAATATATATATCCCTACAGCCTACAAAAGCCACTTTTTTGGGGTTGCCAAAAAAAATGTTTTTTTCAAAATAACCCGTGTTTTTTTCAGCAAGGTATTTGGTTACGGGAAATTATGGGTAAATGATGGGAAATTACGGATAAATTACGGGCAAATTACGTGTAGAAGTTTAGAAATCGATGTTTTTCTAAAAATACCAGTTCTTTTCTTAAAATATTTTAAAAAAAAACAGGCTTTTCGATTTCAACCTCAAAAAGTCGATTAAGGTTGCCATATGGGTATTTGATATGGGCTTCTCATAGGGTACCCCATACCATCCACTGGTTAATCAGCAAATCCTTTATCCCTATTAAAATGGCCATTGCAGGTATACCTCATTTCCAGACACACCCAAATGTATCAAATATCAAGTATCATGATTATCCACTGGTCAAATCCCTATTGTTGATGGTTAAACCAAGTTAAATCCTTAATTATGTGTCAGAATTTTTGATGGTGAAATCATAGTTATCGCAGTTATATCTCTCTTTTCAACTTCCAATCTTTCGCTGCTGAAGTACCTCCCGACCGCGACCCTCGGCCAGCGCTGCAATGCTGCTCACCTGAGAGCCGCGCCTGGTTTCAACCCATTCCCCAGTGTTTTCACTGATTTAAAAGTCAAAAATATGGATTTAACATTGGTTTAACCATCGATATCGTAGATAACTGTGAAAAATAAAAGGACCGGATAACCCCACATGTCAAGCCTTTTGTAGCTTCTTCAGAAGACATGCAGCACATAAGTTCTTTATGTGAGGCTCTGGCTACTGCGCCTGACATACGAAAGCCAGCCGCGTTATCATATGTTACCAATTTCGCCAAAGTGAATGATTGAAGCTCGCCTGAGACGATTAAATCATGATTGAATGATATGAGCTGAGATAGATAGACAGATAGACGGATAGACAGATAGACAGATACACAGATAGACAGATAGACAAACAGACGGATAGACAGATAGCCAGATAGGCAGATAGACAGATAGACAGATAGACAGATAGATAGAGGGACAGATAGATAGATAGATAGATAGATAGATAGAAAGATAGGTAGATAGAAAGATAGATAGGTAGATAGATAGATAGACAGAGAGATAGACAGAGAGATAGGTAGATAGATAGATAGACAGATAGCTAGATAGACGGATAGATAGCTAGATAGATGGATAGATAGATAGATAGATAGCTACGTAGGTAGATAATCAGAGAAAGAGAGAAAAAGAGAGAGAAAGAGAGGAGACATCTATCACCGTTCGATCCATCAGTGGCTTCGCTCTGCCATCCGAGATTCACAACAACCAACCCTTCCTATAGGTTTCCTATTTTTGAAACTTCCGCCACCGCCTTGTGCGGTACTACTGGTAGAAGTAGAAAGGCACAGAAGTACAAAAGCAGAGAAGCAGGGAAAACAGAGAAGCAGAAAAAGAAAGAAGCAGGAAAAGCAAAAAGCAGAAAAGCAGAGAAGCAGGAAAAGCAGAGAAGCAGGGAAAGCAAAAAGCAGAGAAGCAGAACAGCAGAGAAGCAGGAAAAGCAGAGAAGCAGAAAATCAGAGAAACAGGAAAGCATAGAACCAGGAACCCCCCAAAAAAAACAAAACCTGCCGCGAAAAAAAAACAACAATAAATAGCCCTCCGCTGAAAATTGCTGAAAATAATGATTGAAAAAGCTGAAAACAAAGGTGAAGCATTGCCTCGTGCACCAAATACCCTCCGAGAAGGTTGATTTGGCTCCCAAAACCAACCACAAATACAATCTCAGAAGGTGCCACTGCAGCTCTAGGAATTGTGATTTAACATGATTGAACTGATCACTGTTCGACAAAAATATGGAGTTAAGCCATGATTCTTGATTACCACACACCAAGAAATACTTGTCAATTGGAATCATGATCGCAGCTGGGGTCATGATTGGGGGAAGGAACTCATGTGACAAACCCAAGGTTTCCAATGCCGCAAACTTAGTCGTACCCTCTGGTAATTTAACATAGCTGCTATGGAACATCGCCATTGTTAGGAAAACAATCTATTTCAATGGACCATTTTCCAGGTCACAAACTTGTTGCTCAGCCTCCTGCAGAGTCTATGTGGAGCGCTACGGTATGTTTCGGAATTGACGATTGTGATTTGACCATAAACATAGCGCATGTGAATGTGTAACTCGCAATCAAAAAGAACCAGTACATTGGTCCAAACGAGGACATCTAAAAAAACGACTTGGACTAATGATGACCAATGACCTGGCCTTGTTTCTCTCATCCACTGCTTGTGGAGCTGTTCCGGTTGGAAACTGGTTCACTTGGAACATTAGGACAACCCTGGAAATCAGGGATTGACTAAACAATCAGGGTTTGTTCATCCCTGACGATCGGAGACACATAACTTTTGATAGACACTCTTGTTCTCCAATGGCAAGGCGACGACGCCCAGTTGGAGTACGAGGCGATATTGCCCTAGTCGGATATGTGGAAAGAGGTATAATCTCAACACATCTCAACACCACATCTTCCAAGCGAAAAATAATCTACTTAGATGGGCGTCTCAGTTAGTAAGTGGCTCATAACTTATAACCCCAAAATTCCAAGTGGGAAAACAACATGATATTCCAGTTGTATTGGCTCTAATGTGTTTAAATAATATATGTCATACATTTCTGGCTTCTGCGCTGGCCACTGGGCCCCCTGGGCCCCCTGACCAACTCCTCTTCGAGGGCCGCAGAGAGAGCTCCACTGCTGTTGGCCAAACAGGAGTGAAGCATTGCCCGTGGAACCTGAGCCAAAAACGACCTGGAGGAACGAGTCGATGGTTGTTGGCTCATAAATGTACCAGCTGGTTATGACTAACAGTTCGCCATGGAAAATCACCATGCTATTAATAGGTAAACCATCTATAAATGGGTCATTTTCCATGGCTATGTTAAATAACCAAAGGGTAAATAACAAACTAACCACAGTATCACAGTTATGAATAACAAACCATCCAACTTAGGACACGGACTTACCAGGTGTTTTGAGATGAGCATAGTTGGTGAAGCATCAATTTTTTTGCGGTTTATAGGTTGGATCACCCACGAACTGTGGCTGTTGATCCCCATCAAAATCATTTTTGGTAATTCACCAACATGAAAGAACACCATTTAGATCCATTTAGGGATAGTTCATGATAGTTCCCCAATCCTAAACAGAATCTTCAGTGATTCAGTGACGTGGGTTTTACCCATCGTTTTACCCATCATCCCCTGCCACAAAAAGAACGACGTGACTTCGCTGAGACGCCGTGGGAGGTGCACCTGGCTGGGACCAATTTTAAGTCCAGCCTTTGATATTTGGTTGTTTGGGGGAATGTACAGATATGGTTAATATACTAATGTAAATTAATAATGATGATATCTGATATCAGTGACATTCTCAGAAACAAAACGTAAGTAAAGTGACCTTCAACCAAACATAGTTGGCAGTTGGCGGCAAAAAAACAAAGAATGCAAGGTTCCTTCAGAAGCCCCGAAGGTCGCCACAAAGTCGCTACAAGTAGCTTGCAGGAAAACCCGTGGTTCCAACATTTCCAAAGTCTGCACAAATGATCATCAAACCCAATAATCTTAACAGGAAAAAAAAATAAAGGTGGGACTCTTAGCCTTTCTGGTTGGCGCTTTTGAGAGAATTTGAGTGAAACCCCACCCAACAATGTGACTGCGTTGATGATAATCATTCCAATCACAAAATACACATGCATCCTGCATATTTATATGCAAAAACATCCCGCCGGACCGGAAACCATGCTCGTTAAAGCCCATGTTTTTTAAATGAGCTTGGCACTGTGGTGAAACGCAAATTTCTGTTGTCAAAAACCTCCAAACAATGGATTCCGAAAATTTGGCTGTTTTCGCGTTTTACCACAGTAACAGCTCATTTTCATCGGAGTCATTTCGGTGCATGCTGAAAACAAACATGTTTTTTCAGAAGATGCGTTTCAAAGCTTCCATTGTCTTCTTTTGCAAGTTGGCATTAAGGTTGATGTACCTCCATTGCCAAGACTTGGCTTAGAGCAGTACATGGCGGCTTTGCGATGACAAACTGTTGTGAATGTAAGTGTTTAATGCAGACCATGCAGCATCAACTGTGCCTGTATGACAAATACAGTATTGTTTTTTGCTGCGATGACAAAAACTTACTTGCGTAGTTGGGAGTTATTAGAAGAAGTACCAAGGTAGTTGCAACTTGTTGTCCAAAAGTTAGTAGCGTAGTTGCATTTGTTTTACAAAGTTAGCAATGTATCATCAAGAACGTCGTTAGAAGTTGCTAGTGAAGTTACAAGCGTAGCAAGAAAATGCAACCCAAGTGACTACCGTAGTTGCCAGCTGTTGGAAAAGTTACTAACGTAGTTGGAAGTTGTTATACAAAAGTTCCTAATGTAGCTGGAAGTTGCTACAAAAGTTAGTAACGTATCATCAAGAACGTTGTTGCAAAGTATCGATACAAAAAGTTACTTGCGTAGTTGGAAACTGTTAGAGAAGGTAGCAACGTAGTTAAAAGTTATTATACAAAAGTCACTCGCGTAGTTGGTACTGTACTTGTTATACAAAACTTTCCAACGTAACATCAACAAAGCCGTTGGAAGTTGTTGGAAAAGTTGCAAACGTACTGAGAAGATGTAACAACAGTGACTAACTTAGTTGGAAGCTGTTGAAAAAGTTACTAACGTAGTTGCAAGTTGTTAGAACCAAGGACGTTAATAGCCCACCCCACCCCATGGAAGTTGTCAGAATTGTTAGTAACATAGTTGGAAGTTGTTACGACCAAGGACGTTAACTAGCCTACCCCACCCCACCCCACCTACCTCATGGAAGCTGTCAGAAATGTTAGCAACATTTAGTAACCTAGTTGGAAGTTGTTACGACCAAGCACGTTAACTAGCCTACCCCACCCCACCCCACCTCATGGAAGCTGTCAGAAATGTTAGCAACATTTAGTAACCTAGTTGGAAGTTGTTTTGACCAAGGACGTTAACACACCCCACCTCAAAAAAGTTAGTTTTACGAGACTTGTATACTTGTAGCAGCTTAATCTGGGTGCCAAAAGCCTGTTCAATCAGCACAAACCATGCCGGGACAGGCTGATCTTGGCGTTGACTTTGGCTCCACTGCTCTTCAGCCTTGGGTCATTTTGAACAAACAACCCATCTCAACTGCTATTTCAGGAACCGATTTATTGAAAGTAATATATATATATATGTAAAATATTATGTATATATATATGTATATTATATGCTCTGTGTACAGGCTATGTAAGGGCTATGTAAGGTAATAATTATCCGCACAAAATATGGCATTGTATAGTACAGCACCTCCATTTCAGAATCCTGAAATTCCCACTGACATGCCATCTGGTGCTAAACAAAAAACAGGATACTGGTGTTGCAAATAAATTATTACCGGAAACTTTTACGGATGCTCTGTTCTTTTCACTCTCCATTGCGATACTTTTATTGGAGCGTGTCGAATCGTTTGGAAAGTACGGACGAGAAAACAAATCTCTTCTCCCTTAATGTAACCTCTCATTCATCAGGTTTCCCCAACTCAGCAGCTATTTTTGGGGTATCTAGCACTTTCCAACCCATATATCAATTATAATCATCATCTTGCTCAAATCACCATTGTTCACAATGTTTCATGATTCAATCACTTTTTATAGTGAAATCCGCCCTGTTTAAGCAATGTTTCTGCTGAAACCTAACGGTTGAGATGCGCACTGCAGGTGCTTCATTTGCAGTCCAGCTCCAGCCTCGAAAGCCAGTGCTGGAAACCTGGAAAATATGGGGAAACGTAATCGAACTACCATCCGGGAAACGATTTTTTTCCGCAGTTGCTATACTATATTGATATATATATATATATTGTATGTATTATATATATATATTGTATGTATTATATATATACACTGTATATACTATATATAATTATATAGTTATCCCAAAGTAGTTAGAAAATGGAAATTGTGAAACATAGTCCCATTTGGATGAGGTTATTTGTTTTTATGTGCGTAGTTAACATTCTACTATCTACTAGTACTCCAGGCTGACTGTATGTATGTACATATACCCGCAGGCCGAAGGTGCCGCCCAGAGGTTTATCATGGGACCAACTCTTGGGGGTTTGTTTAGAGTTTATTTAGGGTTGCATTTGGGTTTTCTAGGGTTTTTGCCATGGTGTTAGTAAGATTTTACTTTCAAGGCTTACTGAGGGTTTCTTGTCAGATTTAGGTGTTGGTGTTTAAGATTTAGGGTCTTGCGTTTTGTAGAGAAGTCTCGTCAGCCAAGTTGCCACTTCACCGACATACCAACATGCAAACATCACTGGCCCTGCACAGTTAAAATCCACTTTCCCAACAGAACCCCCGTCCTGGCCATATATATGATGTAATATAATATAATAATATAATATAACATAACATAACATAACATAATATAATATATTAATATAATTTAATATTCATTCATATTCTGCACAATCATATTCAATCATATGTATATATATAAAGCATCGTCATTGTATTTACAACATGTCATTCGGATTCATTCGGGTGATATCCCAAGGTTTCATCCCCAGCCTGCTGGACGATCACCCGCTTCAACGCTTCTTCGTATTCTGTGGTCCTGAGTAAGGAAACAGGAAATGGCTCAATGGCTCAGAAAATAAGTGCTGATGTAGTTACAACTTGCATCTAGTGACTCTTTGGGTGACTATGGCAACTCAGGATGTATCTGAGGGCTGATCAGATACTCAGACTCAGAAGAGAAACCGAATACAGAATATACATACATGCAGCCATGCAACAGTATTCATGCATGTGTTCTGTGTGTTAGTGCTTGAAAAAAAAAAACACTGTTTGATGGAGGAACATGAAGTTAAAGCCAAACTGGCCGTCTATAATGTTGGAACACCTTCAAATCTCCCAAAATCCCCCCCGTCCACTGGTGGAGAGCCTGAAAGATTCCCAGATTCCCGGTCTCGCCACGTGGATCTCACAGCCGTCACAGCCCTGAGGGCAGCACATGGCATTTTCCGCAATGATGTCCTCATCACGCCACGGATGGATGAGCATGGCATGCATTTCTCACAAGTGCCATTCGGCAGCGAATTGAGAATTGAGAATGAACATTACTATGGTAAATTACTATGGTCAATGATGGTTAATGATGGTTAATGATGGTAAATATGGTAAATTACTATGGTAAATTACCATGGTTAATTGTTTGCCAACAGAAACACAGCTCCTCACTGAGCAGAGCAAAGGTCTCTCAATTCTCAACTGGCATAACTTCATGCCTGGAAAATGACTGGTTCTCAGCTCATAAAAAGTTTTTTGCTCCACCAGTCAAGGTCCCAACATCGAGGCCATTGACTCGGAAAGAAAGATGCACATCAGCCTCGGAGTGGAATTTCTGATGAAAATTTGGTTTCAGCATACCAAAGACATGGCGAAAAACACCATCAAAACTTGCTTTTTTTCATCATCAAGAATGGTGAAACATTGGGATTTAACCATCACACTGGTTATTTTAATCATCAAACATCGTCAAAAATGGGGGGTTGACCATGAAGACTGCTGAACAATGATGAATAAACCATCAAACATAGGTGCGTAGCCAGTGGATAACGATGACAATGGACATTTGGGTTGGTCTGAAAATATGGTATACACCCAAATGAGTACCTGAATGTGGAAAAGTATGATAAACTGATAAACCCCTGGATTTTGGGGTACCATGAGGCTATATGCTATTTAATCAACTTAATATGATTGCATACGATCATATGGGGATAAATGGGATATTGAAATAGGGTAAATTAATGCAAAAACATGGGATATAACTGATGGGCATATTAATGGGAATGTTAATATTGATCCATTTACAGTATAGGTTTTGGTTATCCAACAATCATGAATCGGATTGGATTACTCAATGAAAATTGGCATAGTCAGAATATCCCTATGATATGAGGGATGATCATCCCCCAATGTGGGCCATTCGATTTTTGACGACCATGGCTGGCCAAGAAACTGGAGATTCAACCAGCAATCTCAACTCATTCCCACATCAAAATGGGGGTCTGCAGGTATGTTTTACAGCCAAGATTCCTGGCGATCATACGAATCATACAGGAAGACATAGCAAAAAAATGAACCAGCAACTTTGCTAGATTCTAGATTCGATCGAAAACTAGGCAGCTGAACAATTCGGAAATCAGATGATCTTCTGAACAGACTGCCACATTCCATGGTGCTTTCCCATGGGGATCCAATCATCCACCATGGTACCTTGGAGATGCCCGGCCCCTTGGCTTCCCAACATCACCCAGCGACAACAAGGAGCCGCGGGGACCTGCTTTTTTTTCCCATGGAACATGGTTCGGAAGATGGGGAAGATTGACCCATTTACTTCACTAGTGATGTTTTTTCACACCTCAAAGTGGGAAAATAACATAAAATACCCTCTGGTAAACTAACGTAACTATGGAAAATCACCATTTTTAATGGGTAAATCCACTATTTCTATGGCCATTTTCAATAGCTATTTTGACATAACCAGAGGGTAAACACGTTCACCCAAACTGTATCCCAGCGATCCCAAGACATGAAATGCGAATGCTCACAACTGCTCTTAATCAGAAATTGTGTGTTAAATGATAGATGTAGCCTCATCCACGTTCCTGCGAGTCACAATTTTTCCAACTGCCAAGTGTGGCTAGAACAGGCTTACAACCCCTTCGGTCCCAGAGTGTGATTGTTGGTTAATGCTACCATTGCTATACTATGCTATACTATACACAGTTATTTTCCTATATTTCTCCATGTGTTGCCATATGTTCCTATTTATTTGATACATATTTCCCAGATCTTCCACTATATTCCCATATTTTTCCATGCTATGTCAACAGATGTTAGTGATGTCATAAACCACCCATATGGATTGATGGGTGAATTATTTTCCAATTTGGGGAATTGTGGGGATCGTGGATCGTATTGCTTTACTAACATAACTTTTGTTCAATATTCCCATTCAATCCCATGATATCACCATCAAATCACCATAAAATCCACTTACTGACCATATTATATCCATTTATATCCTATTTAATCACCATTAAATCCACTGACCCACTACTTGGCCCCCCACGACTCTTGGGACTCTTGGGGCTCTTGGGACTTTTGGGGCTGCCACTGCGAGCGCTGCGAGCGCTGCAACTGGACTCCTCGCAACAAAATGTTCGGGAGTTGGCATGATTTAATGAGGTTTAATGAGGTCTATATAATATTATATATATAATGAGGTTTGAACCTTATAGTAATGATTCATGAGATTCATGAGGATATTCAGAAACCATAACAGTTTCAATGTATTGGTTTGAGGACCCACCAAGATTCACCATGAGGCCGGCCCTGTTTTTGGTGGAATTGCTTGGCAGTCACATGCTGAACATCGGTGGTTTATCCCTGTTCATATGCGTTCTTTGGCTACGGCGCAAAAACTGGGATACCATTGGTCGTATTGAATTTTGAACCATTCATTTTTGTTGGGGCAATGATTTTGATCAATACCATTGGGGGCTTTGAATGGTTTTGAGTCAAAACCTCCCCTGAACATTCCCAAAGTGACTCAGGATTCTGACTCAGAATAGCTTGATATAGCTTGTCTTTGGCTGTTCACCTACCAACTGTGAATCCCTCTATGGGTGAGATCTGGAGTATTGGCCAACTATCCCACATTTTAAAGGGCACCTAAGGTGTGGGAGAAATTTAAGCATCTCCATGGTTGCTGGTCAATACTCCTATCAATGCTTGATATCTACAATGTTGATGGTTAAATTTATCAGCATGAATCTATATGTCGATGGTACAATCACAATTTGTGATTATTAAATTTATTAAATCACATTGGTTGACGCTTACCATCTGGTTATTTAACATAGCTATGGAAAATCCATTATAAATGGAGGTTTATAGCTGGGAAAATCATCTGTAAATGGGCCATGTCTTCCATAGCTATGTTAAATAACCAGAGGGTAACCGCTTAAAAAAAGCCGCACCCGGATGGATTCACAAGGAGTTCGACCACGGCGTGCCCAACCGTTGAAGCAGTTTCGGGGTCCCGCGACTTGCCATCGTCCAGCTTTCCTGCGGGGACAAGAGCTTGGAAAAATGGCTGCTCCTATGCAAAAGCAACCGTAAATGAATGGCAAGGCATGAAAGGCTGTGAGTATCCTATAAGGCATGTATAGGCTATGGCATGGTACGATTGATTTTTGGGTTTGCTACATTAGATCGCAGCTGCAAACGGACAATCACCATCTGCAAAATTATCCAAAATAACTTTCCCTGAACGAAATAAAACCGCTTTCGTTGGAGTATTCAAGGGACCCAATTGCCAACATGGATGAGGTGCACTTAGGCCACAAAACTGCAGTGGATGGTGAAGTGTGCTGGGGCAGCTTTGCGCAAAGGTGAGGTGTGATCATCCCACCTGTTTTTCACAAGGAGAAGTACAAAGGTTGTTTTTTTCACAAAGCCCGGTTGGAGATTTATTCTTGTTTGTCCGAGAAGAAGTGATGCCCCCGAAATAAGGTATACCCCCAATAAAGAAAATTTGAGGTCCCAGGAATGTCGTTCATATCATGTACGTTTTCTTTATCAATTCTATACTTACATGTATATATATGGCCATTTAATGACATTATACCACTAAAACCTATTCGTTCAAATTCATATCAAAAATTATATTAATATGTCCATATTCATATATCATATATTGAATATTGATCATGAATATTCAGAATCATGGTACCCTAATAGTTGGATGTTTTTTTTGATGGAAAATAAAAAAAATGAGATTTAGGGGTACCCCCATGACTCAGGAAACCCTCATATGTTTAATGATGATCAAGCCCTAGTGCTCCAAATACCCTCTGAGAAGGTGTTTAGGCCCCAAAAACCAACCCCAAATAGAGTCTCAAAAGGTGTTTGGAGACCTAGCGAAGAATAAAAATAGATCAGATCAATCACTATACATCTATATATATATATATACCCTATGGATCCAAACACTGTCTGAGAAGGTACTTAACCCCCTAAATCATACCCCAGATACTTCCTAAGCAGGTACTTGGATCCATAGGGATATATACTGTGTATATATATATTTATATCTCTATATACTGTATATATAACATGAATTTTTAGGCGCTCCCCTTAAGGTCGCCTTGGCTGGATCGGGACGGAGATGTGGGGGCCGATGTGGGAGCCGCCGCCGTTTTTTCGGCCTGGCCATGGTGGGAAAACGATGGAAAAAGATGGAAAAAATGAGATCTTTACCTGGTACTATGCATTCTAAATGATGATTTAATTATAGATATAATATGATATAATGGTGATTTCATCGGACTTTTTTGAGAATATAGTAGGATATAACTGATATAACCATGAAAACTAACAGTTTGCTACCGAAAATCACCGTTTTTTGATAGGTATATCAACGAACTAACTGCACCATATTCAATAGCTATCTTAAATTACCAGAGGGTAACCAGTGGGTTTGGCTCTTTTTCCTGAAATGTTGTACCAACCCGAACCTGTCATATGCTCCATGTCGCTGGTATTTTGACGAAGACTTGCCACACAAAATGAGCCATGTAGGTATCCAAACATGGATAGGTTGAAGCGAAAATCTACAGGAAAACCTGGTTCTCACCCCAAAGTTTGGAGGTTTCTTGCATGTTTGGAAGTGCCGTTCCAGTGAACTCACTGGATACATAACTCACCCTATACTTATAGGGGCCCCATATCAGTTCTACATAGTTCTACTATCTCCCAACTTCAGTGCAATCATCATGGCTATCCCGGGCCCCATATCCATGATCCCATTGATATTCCATGAATATCTCATTGAATCCACCATTAAATCTCATATACCCAGCAAATCCCATTGTCCCTTTAAACCCCCACACAATTCCATCAAATCACCATTAAATCACCATTAAATCACCATCAAATCACCATCAAATCACCATCAAATCACCATTAAATCACCATTAAATCACCATCAAATCACCATCAAATCACCATTAAATCACCATTAAATCACCCTTTTTGTGGACCCTGAGACGCGCCTCGGAACGCTGGCTTTTGCGCCCGGCTCGCTGCGCGGTGGACAAGGTGGGACCCACCTGGAGTTGTCGACATGTAGAAAGATCTCAGCAAACCCTATCAATAATATAATATTACATAATATCTTATTATATCATATATTACATTATATTTTATTATACTATATATTATAATATAATTAATATAATATAATATAATGTAATATCATATAAATTTAAATTTACTGTATATATATATAGATATTATAGCTAATTTGGTGCAAATAACTCTAATAACTATGGTTTACGATACCTATATAACTATGGTTAATGCGGATTATAAACCGACAAACATCACTGGGAGGGGCCCAGATTCTATATTAGGGACGATATGTATGATATGTATGATATGTATGATATGTATGATATGTGTGATATGTATGATATGTATGAATGTATGTACGTACGTACGTATGTATGTATGTACTTAGGTACGTACGTATGTATGGATGGATGGATGGATAGATAGATAGATAGTTAGATAGATAATATATGCGTGTAATATATAGATGTTAGGGAATAGGGATCCATAAGATCCAATTTAAAAATGTATTTACATATACTGTAATATATATATTATAAGATATATATGATCTGCTTATAGACTATCTATCCCTGTACTGTATCACTGGGGTATGACGACGGTGATTTGCACCTTCGAGAAGGAAGTGCTTAAGGATCCATAGGTTATAATATCTGTAAATTCTGATGTATGTATCGATATGAGCAGCTATCTAAAATATTTATTCGTAATGGATTTTGATGATCCGGAATAACTTGTACCAGTATTATATATATAATAACGTACTATTATATACTGTAGTATATATGTTGGGTAGTATAACGCCCTACAATCATCAATCAGCAGTGGCTTTTGGAACCCATATGATACGATGCCCTCGGCTTAAACACAGCATTTGGGTCTCTGGCGGATGCACTCCGACGCGGAGAACCTCAGAAAAGGTCCATGTCCACAGGATTGAGGCAGCACTATTTTTGGGGATGGCTCAAGTTACCTATGAATTTTCCATATCTGGGGGAAGAATACCCTCTGGTAAACTAACATAACTATGGAAAGTCACAATTTATAGTGGATTTTCCCATTGAAAATGGTGATTTTCAATAGCTACATTAAATTACCAGAGGGTAATCCATTAACCAGCTATGACTTGGGGCACCGTTTGGATGCCAAGGTTTTGACGAAAATAGCAATTTTTCGGCAAAACTGACCAACCAAATATGTGTCCAAAAATGACCACCAGAATTCAAATGAGTCATTTACTCATTTTACCTCTGGAGGAATTGTGGATTATAACTACTATAGCTATCTATAGCTGGATAAAATGAGTCATTCAGGGTGAGGTAGTTGTTTCTTTGTTCTGGGGGAACTTGACAGGAAACCTGAACAATTGGTGGTTCCACTTTGGGACGTCCCATGATGCCTAGAAGTGGATGAAGGAAAATGTTCCAGAAAAATACAGAGTCATTTTACTGCCAAAGACCATGTTTTCATGGGAATTCCAAAAGAAAAGCAACCTCCTGAGATCTTCCAAGCTCAAAGAGGGAATGAGTCCAATAAAATGGCTAGCTGAGCCCAGAATCAATCCCCAGTGCTGGAGCCGGGCATCCATCCGAATGGCAGCGGGAACGTCATCGAACTACAGTAGGGGGATGTTCCATCAAGCCATGTCCGGCATCATTTCTTACAGTGACGGTCCGAGTGAGCTCGCTATAATTTATCCAGAGAAAATCACACATCTCATGACTCAAGCTCGCAAACCTGTGTTCCGCAATTTTCTTGGATACCCTGATACCCTCCTGTAATTGCTCATCTTTCAAAGCCATGGAAAATAAGCCACTTCAAAATGATGCTGAGATGTTGAGATCATGATTTGGATTCTTGGATACCCTTGGTATTTCTCCTAACCTGTACCTATCATCACTCAAAGTGACACCGCAAAAAACCTACAGCCTCAATCTCTGGGCATCCCACGGCTTCCGTCCTGAGGCAAGATTGATTTGTGGTACTTCAAAGGGTTGGTTTTCGGAGAAAATCGATTGAAATAACACCCAAATATGAGGAGTAACCATGTGTTGAAGATATGTTTGAGGAATTTTCAGGATTGGTTTGTAAACCACGTTTCTATTTATTGGTTTGAGTTGAAGAGAAGGCGCCATGTGTTAAAAAAGATGTTTTGGTACCCAGCGCGAGGAGTTTCCTGCAACATCTTCTTCAACCAACTTTGGGATTACTGGTCTCAAAAAAAAATGACGGGCCCTATGGGCAACTGGGCTCAAGTTGTGTTTTGGATTAGCTGTTCCCCAGACCTGGCTCCTAAAGGCTCTATTCTATCAGTGACCTGCTAAAAATGGGACAATGCATACACTGATACTGGAATTTATTGGCCCGAATTGCAAAGGGTATCTGACTTTTAACATGTAATCCATTCCCAAAGATTATTCACCAGCAGCGCTGGTAAAATTCAAGCCGACACTGCAACCGAGTCGCAGAGACCAGCTTGGAGGTCGGAGGTTTCAACCCCAAAAGTCTCAATCTGCCATCCAATAAACATACGAAACCTCATCAATCACCGTTCGGAAGTGATCTACAAATGGTAGATGTTCCACATCTAGCTATAAGTCATAGTTTACTTCGTAGCTGATGTCCACCAGGATGAAGCCCATCAGTCAATGGGGATCACACGGTTGAGAATATCGGTCTCATCTCAGTTGACATCTATTGGTAGATCTCGCCTTTTCAGAGCGATCCAAATCTCCAAATTTTGAGGGTCCATCCCAGCACTGCCCCGGTCTCTCCTTGGAGCTGTTCGCATCTTCCTGCGAGTTTCGGTCCACCTGGCAAGCCATAAAGGTCGTACCTAGACCCTCCAAGTAGCAGAGAAATTGGCAATATATACCCCTGAGGGTATCCAGAATCCAGACTCCAGACCCTCAAAGTTTCAGAAAGTAGTACTTCAGCCCATTTTTGTACTTAGACCATCTTAGACCCATTTCTTGAGGATTCTTGAGGTCGTTTGAGGGTCCAAGATGGTCCAAGCACAAAGGGAAACTCACTAGGGCAGTATGATTGGGAGTTGCAACAAGACTCTCTGGGAGTGGTGCAGGCACTGGTTCCAGTTGGTGGTTGAGCCACCCATCCCAAACCATACAATCCGGGCACTAAATGCTGGCAGGACCTTCTTGCTGGACTTTCGCTTCTGCTCTGATGTGGCTGTAGCTGCTGCATAGCCTTTTGACGCTTTCCGTGTTGAACCTGCTTTCTTGCTCGCAGGCTGTCCGGTGCTGCCTTCCGCCATTGCTGCTCTTGCAGCCTTGCCTCTATGCACGGCTTGTATCTTGACAGCAGCTTCCTCTCTTTGTTTCTCTTCCTCTGCAGTGAGCTCTTCAACTAACCCTGGAACGGCCCCAGCACTAGGTCCTGCTGTTTTGCCTTTTTGCTGTGCTTTTGGCTTTGGCGCCCCATTGTCACTTGTGTTTTCCGCCTTGTCCGGCATTGCCTTCTTGCTGGGCCGTTTCTTCTGCTCTGCCGTGGCACCTGCTGCTGTCTTGTCCTTTGGCGGTGCTTTTGGCTTTGGCGCTGCTTTCTTGCTCGCTGGCTGTTCTTTGCTGCTCTCTGCCATTGCCGCTCGTGCTGCCTTTCCTCTTTGAACTGCTTGTATCTTCATAGCGGCTTCTTCTTTTTGCTTCTTTTCCTCTGCAGTTGCTTTCCGTGCTGCCTTTCCTCTCTGAACTGCTTGTATCTTCAGTGCTGCCTCCTCTCGCTGTTGCTCCTCGGGGTCTGTCTTCCCGCTCTTGGTGGGCTTATCCTTTTGTTCTGCTGTTGGACCGGCTGCTGTCTTGTCCTTTGGCGGTGCTTCTGGCTCTGGCGCTGCTTTCTTGCTCGCTGGCTGTTCGTTGCTCCTCTCTGCCATTGCAGCTCGTGCTGCCTTTCCTCTTTGAACTGCTTGTATCTTCATAGCGGCTTCTTCTTTTTGTTTCTTTTCCTCTGCAGTTGCTTTCCGTGCTGCCTTTCCTCTCTGAACTGCTTGTATCTTCAGTGCTGCCTCCTCTCGCTGTTGCTCCTCGGGGTCTGTCTTCCCGCTCTTGCTGGGATTCTCCTTTTGCTCTGCTGTGGCACCTGCGGCTGTCTTGTCCTTTGGCGGTGCTTTTGGCTTTGGCGCTGCTTTCTTGCTCTCTGGCTGTTCGTTGCTGCTCTCTGCCATTGCAGCTCGTGCTGCCTTTCCTCTTTGAACTGCTTGTATCTTCATAGCGGCTTCTTCTTTTTGCTTCTTTTCCTCTGCAGTTGCTTTCCGTGCTGCCTTTCCTCTCTGAACTGCTTGTATCTTCAGTGCTGCCTCCTCTCGCTGTTGCTCCTCGGGGTCTGTCTTCCCGCTCTTGGTGGGATTCTCCTTTTGCTCTGCTGTTGGACCTGCTGCTGTCTTGTCCTTTGGCGGTGCTTTTGGCTTTGGCGCTGCTTTCTTGCTCGCTGGCTGTTCGTTGCTCCTCTCAGCCATTGCAGCTCGTGCTGCCTTTCCTCTTTGAACTGCTTGTATCTTCATAGCGGCTTCTTCTTTTTGTTTCTTTTCCTCTGCAGTTGCTGTCCGTGCTGCCTTTCCTCTCTGAACTGCTTGTATCTTCAGTGCTGCCTCCTCTCGCTGTTGCTCCTCGGGGTCTGTCTTCCCGCTCTTGGTGGGCTTATCCTTTTGTTCAGCTGTTGGACCTGCTGCTGTCTTGTCACTCGGCAGCACTTTTGGCTTTTTCATGATGGGTCGTTTTTTCTGTTCTGCTGTTGGACCTGCTGCCGTCTTGTCCTTTGGCGGTGCTTTTGGCTTTGGCGCTGCTTTCTTGCTCGCTGGCTGTTCTTTGTTGCTCTTTGCCATTGCCGCTCGTGCTGCCTTTCCTCTTTGAACTGCTTGTATCTTCATAGCGGCTTCTTCTTTTTGCTTCTTTTCCTCTGCAGTTGCTTTCCGTGCTGCCTTTCCTCTCTGAACTGCTTGTATCTTCAGTGCTGCCTCCTCTCGCCGTTGCTCCTCGGGGTCTGTCTTCCCGCTCTTGCTGGGATTCTCCTTTTGCTCTGCTGTGGCACCTGCGGCTGTCTTGTCCTTTGGCGGTGCTTTTGGCTTTGGTGCTGCTTTCTTGCTCGCTGGCTGTTCTTTGCTGCTCTCTGCCATTGCAGCTCGTGCTGCCTTTCCTCTTTGAACTGCTTGTATCTTCATAGCGGCTTCTTCTTTTTGCTTCTTTTCCTCTGCAGTTGCTTTCCGTGCTGCCTTTCCTCTCTGAACTGCTTGTATCTTCAGTGCTGCCTCCTCTCGCTGTTGCTCCTCGGGGTCTGTCTTCCCGCTCTTGGTGGGCTTATCCTTTTGTTTAGCTGTTGGACCTGCTGCTGTCTTGTCTTTTGGCAGTGCTTTTGGCTGTGGCGCTGCTTTCTTGCTCGCTGGCTGTTCTTTGCTGCTCTCTGCCATTGCAGCTCGTGCTGCCTTTCCTCTTTGAACTGCTTGTATCTTCATAGCGGCTTCTTCTTTTTGCTTCTTGTCCTCTGCAGTTGCTTTCCGTGCTGCCTTTCCTCTCTGAACTGCTTGTATCTTCAGTGCCGCTTCCTCTCGTTGTTGCTCCTCTACAGTGCCAATCTTTCCATCTTTTGAAGGTGTTTCCTGTCAGGTTTAAGGAGAGCGCCGGAACGATTGGCTGGAAAGTATGTTGAATATATGTTCTACTAGGCCCCTGAACTTTGGCTTTGGTTTGACAATAAGAGTGTTGGAAACCTCGAGAAAAGAAACGCGGAAGTTGCTTGTGCAAGTATCTAAATATACTTGCAAAGATCATGCAGGCTATGTCCTGGTGGTGTTGAATCGTCCCCGTTCTATGAGCCTATGACCATGACTAATGATTCCAGTTCGGACCCTCTTGCTTGGTATCGGTATCATCAAGTTGTGAGAGTTACGAGATTAATCTTGAGCCATTTCCTCATCTTCAGTCAGCAGCAACAAGGAGTTGTAGCATTTTGCTTCAGTCATTCCATGGTCCTGAAATAAACTGGATATCGTCTGTAAGAATTAAAACATCCCAGTGACATTGCTTAGTTTAGCCATAGAGTTGATTCCTAGCCTAAAAGATTGCATTGAAAACAACCAAATGTGTGTGTGTGTGTGTGTGGCTCCGGTGTCTCAAATTGCTTCCCACAGGGGCCATCAAAAGTAGGGTATCTGGTTTACCCCAAACACCCTTGTGACCCCTGAAAATAATTTGAAAATGGGGGAAACGGGGGAAACAAAAGCAGCTGCTTTTGATACGAAGACTCTATGCAACCAGGAAGTGGAGAATCAACTACCTCTAAATGATGTCCTCTTGAAAATTGGGTGCACTCTATTGTCCTCTTTCCTGCAATGCGGCAAACGCTTTAAAATGAGCCGAAAGCTTCATCGAAATTCAGTCAATTACGTACCAAGTATTACCCTCTGGTTATGTCAAAATAGCTATTTAAAATGGCAATTTATAGTGGATTTTCATGGATTTTCCAATTAAAAATGGTGATTTTCCATAGTTATGTTAGTTTACCAGAGGGTATAAATCATGCATCCGGAGAAATGGTTTCATGATTGGGTTTACCACAAAAAAGGACATATTAGGACATGATTTTTTTCAAGATATGTCTAGCCACAGTGCTCGCCCTGCAACTGACCTGTGGATCTTCTGGGAAGAACCTGCAGAGGCAAATTCCGCAAATTCCGCGCATTTCTTGGGAACTTGGCAAAGTGAATTCCCCTGTGGTTTCAAACCATTCCCCCAAATATTACCCTCTGGTAAACTAAACATAACTATGGAAAATCACCATTTTTAATGGGAAAATCCATGAAAATCCACTATAAATGGTCATTTTCAATAGCTATTTTGACATAACCAGAGGGTATTCCGAGTTGAGCAGTGTTCAAAAGCCGCAACGTTGTCCCGGACAAAATACTGGCTACTCAACGGGATGTCCCACCATGGAGGATCCCCAGTCGTCACCATGGGTGTCAATAGCTGATGAAATCTCCATTTGTTGGTCAACATGACCATGTGCTCAAAGGAAAATATACCATGTAGATCCATGAATGCCGCTGATCTGGCGGCCAGGACAATTCCCTGTCGACATCCATTCATAGATTTATTCTCATGTTTGATTACCAGAGGGTATACAAATCAAATACCAGGATACCATATATGTCCTGACTATCCAAAACATCCGAAACATCCAAAGCAGTAGAGAGGTTGAAAACCAGGCCTATGGCAATGGTCTCTGACACACCAAAAGATTTTTTCATTCAATCCGAATTTTATGTTGGCAACCCTGGCTGCCATAAATCTACCAAACTTGGGGATAATTTTTGAATCCCACCAATAAAAATGGTAGTTTTGGGGATGGTAAAAAATCCATGTCCCATCTGGTTACATCCATCGTTTAAAAAGGTGCTTAACACAACAAACCGAACATGGCAATCACGGCAGAACATCCCCTATGAGACATACCTACATCACCTATGATCTATAAATATCTATGATCTGTAATATGAAGAAAGGCTGGACTTTCGATTGTCGTGTTTGATTGCCAGATTGTATCCGTTCGCGACCACTCCTTGCGTGATGATGCAACGCTTTGCCACACTGTCAAGTACCAGGAGCGGTTTAAACACGTGCTTCGGTTCTAAACAACACACGTCTGAAAGTTGTAACACCCTGATTTGGACTATGATCCCGCTTCTGACTTGTAGTCTCTACATCGCCCCAATATTCCTGATTGTACCCAAAGAAAACCAGCAATTGGCAATGTACCAGTATGGATCTAAGAACAGGAGTCCCGAAGTAAACACAATATTAGTTTACAAATTACAATATCCATTGTTTTTGTCCGGTTAAACATCCGAACACTGAAAAAAACAGCTCTTTTGTTTGTCAGGGCCATCTTTTTTTTTGCTGTGAAAGGATCATGTTCGAAGATAAAAACGACATCGATATGGGGAGGTTATATATATATGGGTTTGAGAATGGGACCCTAAGTCCAAAGGATGAAAATCGACCCGATTCTTGGAGAAACCAAACTTGTCTCCCGATATCCCATTGTTCAACCCATGATTGCTCACTATCCCCCATTTTCTTAGGGTCGTTTGACTGAAATCACCAACCAGTGCAGGATTTTCTCCATGAATATAGTTGGAGCACGGTCTTTATCTGGCCGTGCGTTTTCGTGCACATTGGGGGGGTGGGGTGGGGTGGGGTGGGGCATGTGGTAACGTTCATGTGAACTTGCTAGGTAAGTGGACTCGTCTCTGTGTGTGCCGTTATGTGCGTGTAGACATGGGTGGGGTGGGGTGGGGTGGGGCATGTGTTAACGTTCATGTGAACTTGCTAGGTAAGTGGACTCGTCTCTGTGTGTGCCGTTATGTGCGTGTAGACATGGGTGGGGTGGGGTGGGGTGGGGTGGGGCATGTGGTAACGTTCATGTGAACTTGCTAGGTAAGTGGACTCGTCTCTTGTAAGTGTTCGGGTACTTGTAACTGATACGTCATGCTGCGCTCTTGTAAGTGTTCGGGTACTTGTAACTGATACGTCATGCGACGCTCTTGTAAGTGTTCGGGTACTTGTAAATGTTTCGCGGTGTCTCCAATATAGCCGGCACTCAGACGTTGGACCGGTCTTGGAGGACTTTGAAAGAATTCCTTCCTGCTCACATGGTCTTGAAACACAAAGACCGTGGGCATTCAACGATGCACCCGTCAGTAACGCAATATGTGTTCATGTGGTGCTGGCGCTCCACCCTGGACAATCCAGATCCCCAAAGGTTCCTGGAAGAACTCGAACAGTTGCTGTGAGAAAAAAAACAATCAGAAAATGTCCGCTGGAAGTGCGATCAGTTTCTTTGGTTTCAACATCATTTACTTGTATGAATGCCTGTCTTTGGTTATAGTTAGCTGTTCGATGCAAGTGAAGGTCCGTTGCAAGGTCGTCTGGCAGGTTGTGCCACATTCATCAATACATAACATGTTGAAATCCAGGTCGGTTGCAAGGTCGTCTGGCAGGCTGTGCCAACTTCATCAATACATAACATGTGGAATTACAAAAAAATGCGTTTTCGCCTAGGGGAAACACTTGTTTTTTCATTCCTGCACCAGAATAAGGGGTTTCTTGTCTTTGAACTCACATCAAAACAATACAGGTCGAATTAGTTGGGGAGTTCTGAGAAACATCAAAAATGATAGTTTCGCCTAGGCGAAACGCTAGATTTTGATTTTATGCACCAGAATCACGGGTTTTTTGCCTTTGAAATCACATCAACCAAAATCCTATTGGCACGACCACATCAAACATCATCCATGACACCCCGTTGATCACAAAAACACCACGGCCAGATAAAGACCGTGTTCCATATAGTTATCATTACCCTCTGGTTATTTAACATAGCTATGGAAGCCATGGCCCATAGAAATAGATGGTTCACCTATTAAAAAGGGTGATGTTCCATGGCGAACTGTTAGTCATAACCAGAGGGTAATCGTTTTATCCATGGATTTTCTCCATATTCGTTATGAAAACTCATAGTCATAGACATTTGATCCGCCCAAAGGCCTCAAGGTCAAGGGTCGACTTTTCAACAGGGCTTTGAACTCATGTTGCCCCATAGCCTCGAGTCGAGGGCAAAAAATGCCATGGTCAAGTTCTATATATCTGGCATATTCATAGGGAATATACATGGGAATATATGCTAACTACTTTTAATATATTGGATAATGGGATAAAAGATGATAAAAACATATAACACATATATTATAAGACCATATAAAACCAACTTTACGTACCAGGAATTCTACGTTGGGTGTTTGGGTAAATCTGGGAAGCCCTTTTTGAACCATGGTGATTCATCTCGGCCCCTCGGCGATGCAGTCGAGTCCATTCACCGCCACGATTTCTTCACCTGCCACGGGATGTGATTTGAGTCCACCCCCCGTTGGAGGAATCATGAAGTGTTGGAGTTTACAGGACTGTCAGGCCCACTGTATGGTTTCATCATGGTTCAGGTTTCCAATGGCAGGAGAATCAAAATTCACCGACAAGCCTGTCAGTATAAACCCATGTGTTTGGCCTTGCCAACACAAAGAAATCGGTTCTGTTCCTTGTCCACATCCGAAATCCCTATGTTTTGTGGGTGGTTTAAGTTTGGGTTGTCAAAATTCATTCAATTTCCAACGATTTTGCCTTGTGAAAAAAATAGGGGACTGCAAAATGTGGCCATTTGAATAAAAATCATGGTAATCTGGTTGGTGGTATACCTACCCCCCGGAAAAATATGACTTCGTCAGTTGGGATGATGACATTCCCAACTGAATGGGAAAATAATCCAGCCGTGTTCCAAACCACCAATCAGTTATTGTTATTTACAGCATATTGATGTGGATCATCCCAAATTAGATATACCCAACCTGGTTATGACTAACAGTTCGCCATGGAAGCCATGGCCCATAGAAATAGATGGTTTACCGAACTTAAAACCATTGGAAATCCATTGGAATTGAAGGTACCACCACCGACATTTCGAACCCATCATGGCCTCCGCGAAAGCCGATGCTTTCTGCCCAAGTGCCACTCGCCACCTGCGAAAATCGATTGAAACCATCAGCCGTGTGATGAAAATCAGCCTAAAATGGATTAAAATGCTGGTTTCACCAGCACAAAATGTAGATTTAATATGTTTTCATCAACAAAAATAGGGACTCAACGGGTAAAAAACAGGGATGTAGTGTGAATTCAAAACGAATGCTCCACTTTCCTTTGTGAGGTCTGAGATGTCTGAGTCTGTGATACGTTTTGTGCTTGCGGACAAGAGAATCCAATCAATGATCGAACCATATCGTCCAAATCTATGAGGTCTCAACTCGTGAACAAACGATGTTTCCATTTTGCAAAACCTCCACCAAGCGGCAAACCAAGCAAAACGGGCGCATGTTTTTATGACCAACACTATCTACATAAGACTCAGCTCATTGCAAGCAACCAGTTGAGCGTATTGCTCAACCCAACTTACCACATGCGTTCCCATTGAAAAGCAATTGGACATGATCCGGTTTCTCTTATGTAGGCATTCACGCTTTGATGCACGCAGGATAAACAGCTAACAGCTCAAGTGAATCGTCTCGAATAACCTCAAAAAAGGCTATGGAATTGAACATCTACATTGTCAATTTGTCCACATCAGATAGAATTATGCAATATTATGCATATATACAGTACGTTATGCAATTACTATATATATATATATGTGATATGTATGGTTGCGCATTTACCGGTATATGGAGATACATAAATAAGGTATGCAGCATAAATATGTATGTATATACACATAATATAGATAAATACCGATATCGATGGATATAGAAATCGCTCCACAACACTAAATCTATCATTATATCATCATGAAAAGCCATATTGGACAACCATTAATTAAGTGATTGTATCATCCCCCTATACATTATCAGCCAGATGTTAACCATATCTAATACATTGAATTAATCATATATTGTCCACAGGATCTATCTATTTACATATATAGATATACATATACATATATATATACATATATATATACACATATATATATCATCCATAGGGTCACTATCATTCACTAAGACTACAGAAAGTCATCCCATCTCGCCTTGCTCACCACCACAGGCTCCGGGGGTAGCTGAGTGAAGGTCCTTGGCTCCGGAGCCCCAGGAAGAATCTCTTGGGGAAATCATGGTGGATTTCACCATGGTGAAACATAGGGGATTAAAACATTAAACATGGTGAAAAAGAACGCGATTTCACCGTGATTTCATCATGAAAAATGCTGAAGAAACGTGATTTAAATTTAACTTTAACTATCATAAATCGGGATTTAACTAATTAACCATGGATTTGCGTGCGTCTCAAAAGGATATACTTGCCCAGCAACAGTCTCAAGAGGGAACATACGAATAAATCATTGGATTGGCGGTGTTGGGTCAATGGTGATGCCATTTCATGGTAATTACGCTATTTCAAGTTCAACACGCATAGTTTTATTGGTCAGGTCTGCTAGTTTTGTTGCAAGTCCAACAAATCATCCCAAAATTCTCTTCTGGCAGGGTTGCTTCCAACAAAATACCATACAATACCAGTTCCCTGCATTCACACAATCATGTCTATATCACTGTATCTGTCTGTCGATCTATCTTTCTGTCTGCCTGTCTGTCTGCCTGTCTATTTCTGTCACTTTGTATATCTACATCTAAATCTATAGCGATAAATGATACACCATGATACATGATATATTTATATCATATTTTGTATATGATATGATATGTGTATATATGATATGATATATATATATGATATGATATGATATATATATATGATATGATATGATATGATATGATATGATATGATATGATATGATATGATATGATATGATATGATATGATATGATATGATATGATATGATATATATATTTATATGATATGATATGATATGATATATATATATATATTATATGATATATATATCTGTGTATCTGTGAGAATCGATAGCAAAAAGATGCTGGAAATGGGTGGGAAACCATCCCCAAAAGCACAAAACCTGGGTAACCCACATTGAGGCGCCACAGATTTAATAGAGGGGTGACTCCATGGTAAAAAGTGTATTATTCCAAAGTGCAGAAAACGGCATCTGTCTATAAAGCATTGCATCCATTCTTTATAAAATATATTATAACATATATATATATATAATTACATATATAGATATAATTACATAGATATATAGTATCTGAAATGATCTATTGTGGGGGCCACCTCTCTTTAAACATTGGAGGACAGCAAGGGAGCCCGGACCACGAGGCCCCCCGCAGGCCGATCTTCTGTACAGAGTTACATCGATGGGCCCCTCAGGTCACGAGGTATGGGGGCCCTCAGTTGGGTCGGCCAAGCCACAAAATGGCAAGCCAGCAGGACTGGGCAACTCATTGAAGTGCTTCAAATACTCTGAGAAGCTGTTTGGGCCCCCTATTTCACCTTCCCCAAATAGAGTCTCAGAGGGTGTTGGGAGCCCGGAATAGTTTTAAAAAGTAACACATCACAACCAGCTACCCTCCGGTAAACTAACATAGCTATTGAAAATGACCATTTACATATAGTGAGTTTTCCCAAAAAAAGAAGGTGATTTTCCATAGTCATGTTAGTTTACCAGAGTGTAATTTGGGATGATTTCCCAATCCTCGTAACAAAATCTGGTGTGACCTCGTGTTGGGTCGAAACAACAAAACACCCTCAGGTCGGAACGTCACTCTCTGGCAACCGGAACCTGCGGTGCCAAGGTCTGGGGAAACGTCTCAAAAAATGGGGGGAGCCTGAAATCTGACGTATAGAAACCCAAAGATTCTACAAATTTGGGATTACTTAAGTATAAAAGTCTCAGTTTAAGTGTTTAGTCTACCCATATCGGCAGAAAGAAAAGAAGCTGAAACCCTGAGTTTCTAAATTTAAGTGTTTCAATACTCAATGCACAAATACTTTGTCAGGCCGCGTGTAGAAACCTACATTATTCATTCAGGCTCATCATCTCATTTGTTGAGATGGGACATCAAAATTGTTGAAACATATTATTAACTATATTGTTGACTATATATTATTAACTAGATATTAAATACATTTATACATATATATATATATATATTGTTGAAATATCATTATCTCCAACATAATCAACTATATTGCTATGAATCTGTCCAATTTCTTGACAGCCTTGATCTTTGGCAAGTGAAACTGCATGTTTTTTTTGGTTTCACGTTTTCGCTGAGTTTGAACTCCATGTGTTAAATAAAAAAAAGCATGTTTCCTATGTTATCCCAATGTTTGTCCAATCCCCCCCCCTCAGTTTTCCACATGTTCAACCCCAAGAATTTCCTCAGAGATATCTGAAAAAAAAAACACATCGTTCCTTCCTTTCATCCATGGTGTATTCCAGATATCCAGATTGCACCAACTCGTGGCCCGGCCGCTCCCAGGTCTGGCCTCAAGGCCAAGGGCCGTCGCTTCAGTGCCACTTTGAAGCTTTCAGGACTCATGGCCGTCACCGATTCACCGTCCAGCGCCAGGATCTCTTCGCCTGCGGTGACCAGGGCGCAGAAATCTCTTCCTATGACAAACATGGTATGGGTATAATAAACATGGTATATCCCATGGTATACCCTCTGGTAATTTAACATAGCTATGGAAAATCACCATTCTTAATGGGAAAACTCACTATAACTGGCCATTTTCAATAGCTATGTTAAATTACCAGAGGGTAGATTATATGATTACTATCCATATAATGATGATATGGAGTACTATTCTATGGATACAAATGTATAGGCATATACAATTGGATATGTAGAAGAGTCGCCACAGGAACAGGACGAGGAGCTGGCCCTGCGGGCCAACCCATCATCCTAGAGCCATGGTCCTTTCCATCATACCAACGTGGGGAGAGAACACCAAGACGAAAGAAAGGTATCTTGGGGTTTCATGAAGGGTTTACATAAATTACAAAACATCCCAGCCCCATAAAAAACAACTAACCATACTTCTAGGCTCTCATGTAGGGGATGCATACCATGCGGAGTTCTTGGTCTGAGCCCTGTGATTGGTACTCACCAGCATCATGTCTGCCCGCTGAATCAATCCGGTCATGGTCATGTGTGTGTTTTGTATTAACCTATCCCATGTGGCACACCCGCTAGTAAACCTCTATGTTTGTACCCTGCGATAATGATTCTTACCATCATGATATATAAGGTGCGTATATATATATATATATACAGCATACAAGTACGTACTACATAATTGTTAGGTCATAATATATGTATGATACACCATTGCATTAATTACATATATATATACATATGTGTCACCCATTATTTGGTTCCGTTATATACATCTCCCATTATTAACCATTATTAGCAATTATCATAACCATTATTATAACCATTATAAACCACTGTTAAACGTTATTCACCATGATTAACCACTATAAACTATAACCAACTATTAACAAAATATTAACCATTATAAACCATGATTAACCACTATAAACTATTATAAACCATTATTAACCACTATTAACCACTATGGAATATTAAAAAAACATTATTAACTATAAACTATTATAAACCACTATTAACCCCTATTATAAACCATGATTAACCACTATTAACGACTATTAACCACTATTAACCAATGGTGTATCATGCTCTCATCGTAGCATCTCTATCTCTTCATACCACAACTGGTGCCTCCGGTGAAGCCTTGCTCATCTGCCCAGGTCCCAGAGACCACCTAGCGGAAAATATGGGGAAACCATAGCGAAACTATGGGAAACTATGGGGAAAATATGGTAACTATATGGAAACTATGGGAAATTATGGGAACATATGAGTGATATAACATAAAAACATATGGAAAATATAGCGAACATGTGGGGAACATATGGAAACTTGACATATACTACGCATCTTTAGAATGTGAATAAGATTGGGTTAGAATGATTAGAATGAGATTGACCATCCACTAAATGGGAAATAACATTAAACATTCAGAATATTATACTACTATTTAACTTACATACATTTGGAACATTCGTGAACAGTCCAGACCTGCAAGATAATTTGCTGGAGAAACCATGTGTTTTCCATATCTATGCTAGCTTACTCCAGTGTAAAGAATGAAAAATATGTAGGTATATGTAGGTCGTATAGATGATAGAAATGGGGATATACATTGATATAGATGGTTTAATGGTACGACTCACAAACACGAAGGATGAATTTGGCGAACATGGGACATTGGCCAACAATCAGGGTAGATGTCCCCAATGAAAAGGTGGATGCGCAGCAGCAAAAGTGCGGTTCAAAATAAGGTACCTCAATTTGAGTGCATATTGTAGTGAAACAAACAACAGTGTGTGTGTGTGTGTTTGTGTGTTTCCGAGCGGGGCTTGAATCTAATTAAAACCAATCCCCATGTGTAAATGAACTTACAAATCGATACCTGGACCCAGCTGGAACCCAGTTGTGACCCTTGGTGTGGAGGTACTAAATTAATATACCCATAAAGGTGAGGTCCCCAAGTTTTAAATTGTTTTATAGATTTGATAAACCCATTCATTATAGTTCTACCCCCAGTAACCCTTGGTGAACCAAGTTATAAGTCAAAATCTAAGAGGTCTCACCTTATAAAATAGAGCTTAACCTTCCAAAATGTCAGGTTCCAGGTGGACACTGACCATTTTTTTTTGCACCTCCAACCAGAATTCGGCGCAAGCGCCTTGTTGACAAAGACGGGATCTGGTGGCAGCTGCAAAAAGGACCTCTGCTTGGCCCAAAAAAAATGTGGACTGTGTGGAAAACCCATGGCCCCCCCGTTCGGAAAACGATCTGCAAATTTGCTGGGCTTTATGGTTTTCTACATATTTATACAATGTGAGGCCCCCAAGATAGCTAAGTTGGTTTATAACTCCAATAACTATGGTTTATGGTATTTATAACTATAGTTACTGGGGCTTATAAACCAACTTATATTTTGGGGGCCTCACATTGTATGTATGTTTATACAAGATTTTGCAGCACGGTAATACGGCAACAAACGATTCATTGCGGGTTCATCTATCCATTTAACATACATGTACCATGGTCAAGTACATAAAACGGTAAGGTTTATCATTGGGCTCACGGTCAATCGCAATGACAAGTCGGCAAGTCCTCGCAGGAATCCTGCACCACCAAAAGGATGGGTGAAACATGGTGAAAGAATATGTCAATAATGGGATGTTCACCACCGTTTTCAACTGGTGCAAAATGTCGAACAACCATCCACCAGTGAGCTATTGAAAATGGTGAGTCCCACCAAAAGGCATCGCATACAGATTCTCTAAGTATCCAGGCAGGCCGATCTTGTCCACGTCCTCGCCAAGCACCAGCTCTTCCACACCATCCTAGGCTCTGGCTGCCGTTTAAAAGGCTTCAGTCGACGCCCTAGGCCCTGTGGCTGGAAAGACAGTGGTTTTCCATCATTAAACGAACGCAACGTGGGGATATCCCAAGTTTGAGACATACCTATATTAGTTTCATGAGTCTAAGGTTCCTCAAATGAAGGGTGGTCGGTTTCATCCAATGGACTCCAAAGAACACGAGAAAAACTCGTTTTCATTGGTAGAAGAACCACATGTTGAGAACGGGATTCACCATGGATTGTGACAACCCCCAATATACATCAAGCAACCGGGGGCTTTCAACTAAACCACAATGATAGCTGGTTACCTTTGCGGGGGCTGAATCCCCATATCTGAAAACTATGTTTATCAAGGATCCATTGGTATGTCATAATTAGAATGTAATGGACATACAATATAATATAATATAATATTATATCATATTATACAATATGATACAATATAGTATAATATTATATTATATTATACAATATGATACAATATAGTATAATATAATATAATGTAATATAATATTATACAATATGATACAATATAGTATAATATAATATAATATAATATACCAAAAAACATAACATAACATAATATAATATATAATATAATTAATATAATATTCTATTATATTATACAATATAGTACAATATAATATAACATAATATAATATAACATAATATAATATAACATAATATAATATAACATAATATAAGATAACATAACATAAAATTATATTATATTATATTATACAATATGATACAATTACAATATAATATAATATAATATATATATATAACACAACATAATATAATATTGTATTATATTTTACAATCTAATACAATATAATATAATATAACATAATATTATATTATATTATAGTATATAATACAATATGATACAATATGATATAACATAACATAACATAATATAAGATAACATAACATAACATAATATAATATAATATAACATAATATTATATTATATTATAGTATATAATACAATATGATACAATATAGTAAAATATAACATAATATAAGATAACAAAACATAATATAATATCATAAAATAGAATACAATATAATTTAATACAATATAAATATAATATAATACAATATAGTAAAATACAATATAATATAATACAATATAATACAATTTAATATAAATACAATAAAATAATATAATACAATATAAAACAATATAATACAATACAATATAATATAATACAACATAACACTATTTAATATAATATAATACAATATAACACAATATAATATAATATAATTTAATTTAATTTGATACAATATTATATATTATAATAGATAGAATAATCAGAATATGTAGAAAAGGTAATATAAGATAAGCAGCTTCCCCTAAACGCTTCATGGTGCGATGATATATGACATCTCAGGCTACCGGACTGGCAAAGCATCGTCAACCCGAAACCTGCTGCAGGGGTACCGACGGATGGGTATAGCTCGAAGATGGGGTACCGATTTGAAGACTTTGAGTTTTCCAGAGTTTTCAACTCATTGATTTTGAGATCTTTGAGTTTTCCAGTGATTGGGGTCAATGCAAACATGAAGGAAACACTAAAATTGCACCAAGAGTTTGTAGTCAGTCGATCTCTAACCAACCATACTCGAAAAATAGAGGAACTAAAGTGACAAAGAAGTACTGTTTCCGCAAATGTCTGTTTTCCTCTGTCCGCTTGTGACGAAGTCTTGTGTTTACCTAGGTCGAGCTCTAGAGCCAGAACAGTTACATGGACAACAATGTACCTGAGGCATGGTAGATCATGTACCTTTCAAGTCGGGTGTTCTCCTGTAAGTTGGTAAGATGTTGTAACTGGCTCGAGCTCAAACTTCAGTATCTGTGCTTGCCAGAGGACGTGTCCCTCTGGTCTTCATGAATTCAGCGGGGTGTAGTCTTCGTACATAACCCTTCATTGCACTAATTAATTGCGACCGATCGATGGAACCTTTGGTCATTCCATCGGCTATCATGTCGCGTGTGTCGACCCAACCTAAAATGCGAATGATCTTCGAGGTGGTCAACTGCTTAATCCATGAGATATGAGAGAGTAGTGACTTTTCCGTTGGGTATTTGAAATTTTCATTTTCCACCGCACTGAAAACGGACCTGGCGTCTATCCAGACATAGAGTTCGATAAGGTAACCACCATTTTCTCTTAAATTTATACTGGATTGGGGGCTAAGAGGTCCGAAACATATTTCATGAAGGGTAGTTATAATTATAAAACTTTGATCAACGGATGCTGTGAGTGCCAACAGCTCAGCGGCGAATGTGCTGCGCACCACGAGCTTATGAGATTGAGAAACGGCCTCAATCAAATGGCATCTCTTTACTCCTCTCACATCAGTGCCCATTCGAAGGTATACTGCACCTCTCAAAGCGTATCCCTTATCATTTTCTCTGGAGAATGCTGAATCAGAATATAGCTCAACAACCCTGCTACAAGTCATTGAGCTATACTCTAATTTCTGGGGACGACGTTGAAGCTCTCGGGTGAGTGCATTCAGTCTTTTGACATGTGTAACAGTGGGGTTCTGAGTTACACGTTGGAGGGAAATTATGTAGACTAAGACCCACGCCTGTGTTAGGGCGGAATAGGCAACGGCTCCTAACAAGCTCCAATACAGCGCTCTGAGGTGCTCGGGGCATTGTGCGTCATTCTGGAGATTGGCATAGTGTTTTGGGTTTATAGGCTTTAATGCACCAAGGTATTCTGTCTGATCAAGAGTGATGGTACCATCTGGGAGTCTTTTATGACATATACCACAGTTTGTAAATTCACTTTCTTGATAAGTCAATTTCCCGAAGTGCTTTTCCAGAGTTTTAACCAAAGAATCTATTTCTGATTTCATACCTGCCATTTTAATACCATCTACATGAACGGTTATGGCTAAGACTAGGGTTTCTTTCTTATGTAACATTAACAATTGGGGGTCATACAAAGATGCTCGGAACCCTAATTCCTTGAGGATGTTGATTAGCCTCAAGTTGAATGCTCTGGGAGCGTCTCTACAGCCAGTGCCAGGCTTCAAGCATTTGAGAGCTTCCGTTCGCTCATCAAAATCTTCATATCCTGGGATCCGTCTGAGATGTTTGGCTGTTCCTGCCGGGACGGTAAAGCTTATGTGTTTCTCGGGCTCTCCAGTCAACTTGTTCATCTCGGAAAAGGTAAGCCCTTGTAGAAATGCTTTACTTATGTCCACAGCGACAAAGCTCCAATCTTTGTGGCAGGCTGCTTCACTGGCTAGAATCTTTTGGGATGTTCTTTGCGCAGTGGCCGAGAAGTTCACCTCATCTTCGGTTTGCGGTTCCTTGAACCCTCGCAAGGCCAATCGCATCCTGATGATGCGCTTCCCGTCTACATACTTCCACTTAGAAACTAGCTTAGCGTCGATCAGAACTTTACACTTCTTTTTGGGGATTCGCTCAAAACAACCATATTTATGCCAGGTTTCATATTCTTTAACAGTTGCTTCATCAACTTCCTTGCGATGGTCAATTAATTCCTTAGTTGTGAGCAAGTAAGTATCTCTCTCGATGACTTCTTTCTTAGCTTCTGCATTAAGGAATACCTTCATTAAATTGGGTTTAGACACATCGCGACTGTCTTGGAAGCATTCGTTGATGTTCTCTGAGATCAACACTTCAAGGAATGGTTCATCATTTTCATCAAACTCAAAAGTGTGATCATACTCATCGAAATCTGGACTAACTGTTGGTGGTATTGAATCCCAATCATTATGGTTGTCTGGACTTGTAAAATAACACCAATCATCTTTAATCTCCACATCTGCTACTTCATCTACGGGTTCGTTGAGAACTACCCAGCACAGCTCCTTAAGGTCACTTTGGATTTCTTTGGGAGCACCTTCGAAGTGTTGCAAATACAATGCTTCAACCTCTGGAGAGTCAATGCTAACTTGTGATTCCTCGGCGATCGTACTGAGCCGCCCATCACTACGACCCACCTCGATCTCTCGATCGAGATGCGCCATAGCCGACGGACGGTCCAGCACTTTCTCCTCAAAATCATCAAGTGTCATTCCGACATCTCTGTCTAGCATAAAACACTGCATTGTTGCGACGAAGGACTCCTGTGGACCAAAGATTTTGTTGATGTTTTGTCTCGGGTGATCAGCAACATGTATGAGCATTGCATCTGGGTTGTTCATGTTCCAATTGAAAATCACATTGCGGTATCTGTCGTCCAGATCTTGCAGCTGTTTGATTTTATGTCCAATTCTTACAGTGCAGATATCATCCATCTGGAGGGAATTTGTTATGATGAACTCTAGTGCTTTTGAAATTTTGGGCCATCGCTTGGTGGTTCTTGTCAGTCTGTCATTTACATACCCAAAAACTTCAACACGGCCATCAGGGAGTTCAGTCAAAAATTGATGGATGTATTCCATGGCATTCAAACAGATATCCGCATTGGTGTGTCCATAAAGAGAAACTGTTGCATAGTATTGTGCTGGGCGTACATCTTGGAGGCGATATGGTCTGGTCTGTCCATTTATTTTAAGAGCTACAATGCCATCTGCGGCTACACACTCTACGACTTCATATGGACCGGTCCAGCCACTCATGTCTTTGCTCGGGGGCGTTCGGTATAACTCTACCAAGTCTCCTTTTGCAAAACGGTTTTCTCCCGACAAGGCAGTTTTGGACCCCAAAGCTCTTTTGATACGAGATGCACTCGTGGCTGAAACCATAGACTGCAATGCAAGTTCGCGGATGCGAGCATCAACTCTCTCTTCCAAGCCGGCGTTGTCAGTGATTGGCGGAAGGCAAGCTGGCTGTCTTCCCATCACTACCTGGTAGGGTGTAACTCCTCCTACATGTGTTAGTGCGTTACCCATAAAGACGCTATTGGCAAGTAATGATGGGAAGTTGATGTCAATACCTTCTCTTATGGCTTGGGATTCCATCACATGCATTGCATGTCTTAAGATCGCTCCTCTCCTCTCGATGTACCGAGCGTGTTGGTCCTTGCCTCTTACCTTTAAGACTACACCCATACGCTTCAATCTCGCTTCAGCGCTGGATGAAGTCAAACCAGCTTCACTGTCGGTGACGAGCTGTTGAGGTGGGCCAAAGATGGATACCCATGCTGTGTGAAAGTTCGTGATTAATTGGTCTTCTGTTTTGTTAGGAGTTTCCACAGCAACATGCCATCTTGTCGCTCTGCAAATAAAGTGATGTACAACAAATTCTCGATAGAACATCAAATCGGTTTCTACTACTTCGTTAAAGTTCATGGCCAAAGAAACAGAGGGTTGAGTATCTTTGGCTTTTGGTGCCCATTTGCGGCATTCACGGCAGGTTGAAATGATGTCAGGAATGTAGCTTATGACTTCTTCAGGTATGCCTGCATTTCTTAAAACGCTAGTCATGTTGGTGGGTCCTGCATGCCACCATCTTAAATGCAGCTTCCTGAGTGTTCGAATAATTGTTGGTTCATGACTACTTCTCAAGTCTTTGAGACTATGAGTGACATCAAATCTAGACCAGTCAGATGGATGTTCACTGCCTGCGGCCGCATCCCGGAACTTTCGATAAGGGCCTCGGAGTCTGCTCTCGGCGGGTTCGCCGTCATCTGGATTGTAGGGGACAATCCTATCTTCTACTGGAGGTGCTGCCCCTAGGGCTGAACTACTGGCAGCTCCTTCACCGGCTCTCAAATCGGTTCCATCAGGCAGTTGGGCCTGAGAGTCTTGAACCGGAAGTTCATCAGCCCGCTTGGCTGGTTCTCTGGGATGATGGCCTTTTCGATGAATGCCCTTACGGTGAGCTATGGTCATGTGTTTGCACTCACCTTGGGCATAAGTATGTGAACTGTCACCAGCAGGTTTCATTTTCTTACATCCAGGGCATGTCCATATTACGGGGGCATCTAAGGGATATTTACATGTGTCAGGGTCACGAGTGTGCCGTGGATCATTCCTATTTAGATGTCCTTTGCATCCTGGGCAAACTGCTGGTCTCTTATCTGGATCTTCAGCGGGTTCACTGCTTGGCTCGGATGCATCAGTGCTCGTGCCGATAGTTGGATAGGCATGCTCTCTTGAGTTGACTAGTTCTCGAAGGTTAGTTATTCCATCTACTATCGATGTAGCTAGTTTCCATGTCCACAGTTTACAGTGACTAGCTTTTCCTCCTTCGAGTAATTCATGTTCATGACTTCCATCACAAACATACTTAGTCAACGGTTCTAAGAGAGTCCTATGGTTAGCGATGAATCTCGTGGGTTTCTTAGCTGGTCCTCCATCAGGGCCCTTTTGGCCTGTCATGCATTGGTGAATCACTATGCTGACAGTAGTAGACAATTTTAATACTTCCTGCCACTCGGATTCTTCCCAAAGCTTTGATGGATGTGGTTGTTCTGTTATAAAGAATAAACCCATCTT